ATACCCGCCAAACATTCCTGGATTTCTCTCCATATAATGGACTTCAATGGAGTCCAAATGAGAGTTTCAGTGCATCTTCAAAGGGCTTTAAACGACACCAGATGATGAATAAGGGTCTTATGGCGAAACATTTTATAAGCACAAATGCTCGCCTTGCTCTGTTCTCTGTGACTCTCCTGTTCGAACTCGTTCATCAAAATGAATGATTTTTTTTGAGTCATTTCATTCATTTTGTTTATTGAATGAACCAAATGACTCGAAAAAAGATTCGTTCATTTTGATGAACGAGTTCGAACAGGAGAGTCACAGAGAACAGAGCAAGGCGAGCATTTGTGCTCATGAAACTTAAACTTTGTTATTTAATTTTTAAATGAGCGATCGTTTCGCTTGATAAGACCCTTATTCATCGTCTGGTGTCGTTTAAAGCCCTTTTGAAACCGTTTGGTTCCCATTGAAGTCCATTATATGGAGAAAAATCCAGGAATGTTTTCATCAAAAACCTTAATTTCTTTTCGACTGAAGAAAGAAAGACATGGACATCTTGGATGACATGGGGCTGAGTAAATTATCAGCAAAAGTTGTTTTTAAAGTGAACTACTCCTTTAATGGTACTAAAAGAATTGTGATAAAAAAAGGATCATTAAGCAGAATTGGAATGATTAAATTCTGATTTCCATCCATATTCATATTATAGTCTTCTTATTCTTGTGTTGTGGTGGAGTTGGTAGAATTGGTTCACAGTGCCTCTTGACTTGAACACAAATGTGTTCGGAGCGTGTTCTTGGATGCACTGCTGATGTTCTCATGTTTCAGACCTCTACACCCCTACAGACTATTTCAGGACCATGCAACTTTGTTGTGAAATATTGCGCCTCTGAGGGACCTTTTAGAAGCAGAGTCAGAGGACCGTCCGGGGAAACCTGCCAAAGGTGTTTTTCAGTACAGTAGGTGAACCAAGAGTGACTGTAGGCTGCTGGGATTAATCTGTGGAGTGCGGCTGTGCCTGTGCACCATGTAGAAATGGGAGGTTTGGACGACCTCTTTCAGATTTGGCCCATGAGATGATCTGGGAGTGATTGTACATTGTAAATCAGAGACGACATTAGGAAAGACTTGGAAAAATGTAAGGACTGGAATGTTAATCACTACCATATAAGATATTTCAACAAGGTTCTTCGGGCTTTTAATAAATAAAGATGGATGTCTTTCAGACATTACTGTGAGTGAGTATAAATATAAAAATAATTACAAAATAAAAAACACTACTAAAAATGACTATATATTTCAGGGTCTGTAAGATTTTTTTAAAGTAAATGAACACTTCTATGCATTAAAGTATCCTGAATAAAATGCATTATGGTTTCCAGAAAAAAATCGGCACAACTGTTTTCAACGTTGATCATAATCAGAAATGTTTCTTGAGCAGCAAATCATCATATTAGAATAATTTTTGACGGATGATGTGACACTGAAGACTGGAGTAATCTAATGATGCTGAAAATTCAGCTTTGTATCACATTTTAAAAATGAACATAGAAAGCAGTTAAGTTTTACATTTTAAATTGTAAAAATATTAACAATATACTGTTTTTACTGTATTCTTCATCAAATAAATGCAGCTTTAAATTTTCTGGAAACCCAAAACTTCTAAATGGTAGTGTGCACCACATAAATATGTACAATCATTTTCAGGACATTTTTTTGTTTAGTGCACTTCATCAATAACCAGGTTTATATGGATGTAGTTCTGAGACTAGTGTTATCACATCATCTGTTGTTGGCATATCAGTGTGTACTGTACAGTGTTAATCTGTCCATTCCTGGAGTTCCACACACACTCTCACGCATGCCAACCTTAGGGCAGATAAGTCTGGTCAAGGTGGAAATGCTTCATTTGGTTTCAGGTTTCAGCCATTATCAACCAACCATAGCATATTTGGCTTCAACTAAATGAATTAACTTCTTTTAAACTGAATTTCATGTCATACAGAGGTCAGCTTGACCTGTTTTTAAGTGGTGAGATGTTTGCTATGGTTGTCTTATGATCGAATAAAGCGGATGTATTGATAAGAGATGATTGTTTCTGTTTTAGACAATTGACAGTACAACATGTGATCACTGAAGTTATTGGTTAATCAGATTCCCTCAACGTGACTGAGATTTCCAGTGGTTGTAAGTTACAATTTGGCCAAATCAGATCAATTGTGTAAACTGGCTGATTTAAAGGTCTTGTGCAACAGTGCCGTTCCGTCATGATGATGAATTGAAAAGGCACATGGAGTTGTGTTGAAATCACAGACAGCTGGAATACCATTTAAAATTGTGAACTTGTACGTATGTGTTACAGAAGAATCAGCTCTTATTGTTGTTGTATTGAAAAATGTCTATCACTGCAAAAGAAATGGTACTGCTATTTAATTAAAATAATGATGGTAACAACAATATTACACATAATATTTAAGGCTTGATTTCTTTCATGGAATCTATCTGAATAAATCACGTAAAATCCCCTTAATTATTTAGTCTATGATGCAATGAATTTAACATTTTTAGTGAAATATGCTTTTTTATTTTAAGTTAATGCTCAAAAGTCTGCAAATTAGAGTGTTTATATTTGACCTTGAGTTATATTGTATTATTAAAAACCTGTGATACTGCTAACACAGTTAATAACTGATCATGTTATTGCACTAGCTTTATAACAATGGTTTGCTCAATAAACAAAGCAATATGTTTCCTAATAATAAAACACAACCTTAATAAGCCCTACACTTCTGCACAATGGTAACAATCAAAACTTCAACATTATCGAAACTCGTTCAATTGTCAAAGTTTCAAACATAACTGGTCATTAAACATTAACAGATGTTTCCCTTTACTCAAAAACACATAAAATAACACTTAATTTCAATATTTCCATTACCAGCCATGTGCAAAGCATGCTGGAAACTAACAATAATTAGCAAGCATAATTGAGCTAATTCTCTTAAAAGAAATTGGTAGCCCTTTTCCCTTAATTTTATCAGCTTAATCAGTTTTTCATTTCAAGCCTCAAAATTGTGTATGTTTTCCTAATAAAAAATTAGGAAAATGTAGCTCTTGGTTTTATTAGTGAAATGTTCTCATTATTTCTATAAAACACTGAACCACAATTTTCCTAATAAAATATAGACAATATTTTTAATTATCACCTTTTTTAATGAAAATTACAAGACCCATGAATCATTTTTACAGTGTTTTTTTTTTGCCATGGTCTGATTATTTAAATTACAGTGCAAATTTTCTGAAAAAAAAAACAAAAAAACGGGGAAATCATTTTCTTCATTTCCAGAAGAGAGTAGAAGGCGGAAAAAAAGTGTATTTTAGTTTCTTTGGAAAATACTTGGTGAATATTGCAAGAGCATAAAAACCTTCATTATTTGTCAGTGTTTTAAAGAAATGGTCCAACATAATTTGAAACACTACTTTCAAATTAATTTAGTCCGTGGGGATTTTTTTTAACACAAAAGAAACAATAAAAATGTTTGATAATTTCGCAGGAAACCAAGTTTTGACAGCCAATAAATCTAACTAAGAGGACTGTTTTGTATATCCTGACCGTTGTTTGAAAGTGTGTACAGAGAGTTTTGCTTTATTGCACTGCTGAAAGTATACTTTTTGGAGAAGGATAATGCATCAGGATCAGTGTTTTCAAGCTCATTGTTGTCAGCACCATAAACAGCATATCACAGTCTGCAATTATCATCTTAGTTTTTACAAACAGTTTATCCAAAACATCTTACAGTGCTGAAGCTCCTCTTTTAAGAGCAACATAATCCATTACCAAGTCTTAAATATAAAAAGGTCTATGCAAATTCACTACATTGAAAAATTAAGTTCACAAATATTAATAATGTTAATTAGAGCCAGACCGATATATCGGCCGGCCGATATTAGGCATTTTCCTAACTATCGGTATCGGCAGGCCGATAAATGAATATTTCAACATTAAAATAAAAATGGACGAAACACGCTTGAAACATGTCATGAGTGTTGGAGTTGTATAGTTTGTCCACCACCAGAGGGCAATGTTCTGTTGCGACAATAAAAGAAAAAACTTTCTTTTTAAAATGCATTTTCTTATTATTTTAGTTAAAACTTATATATATACACATAACTACAAATAACTAATGTTAGGGAAATCTGTTAATGTTTTGTTGCGCATTTCTGTAAAAAAAAAAAAAAAATCGGCCGATACATCGGAATATCGGATTTTAAAACCAACAATTATTCGTATCAGTAATGTATCAGCCTTCAAAATCCTTTATCGGCCGGGCTCTAATGTCACTGGAAACCCCAGTATTAGAAAGATAGAGAGTTCATAAGTTTCTCATTTACTGTGTATGTTTATTCTCAAAGGACTGCAGAATGAACCTAAACCTATATATTTAGCCATTTCTTGCAGAGGATGTTGTGATTCGTTCCTTAAGAGCTTGAGATTTTGTCTGAAATCCAGACAAGCTGTCGCTTGAGCTCAGGAAATTAATTTTTTGTTATTTCATAAACTCTATACCCAAGGCTTATTAAAGCACAACATGTGATCTATTCCAAAACATTGGTTTAGAGATGCAGGCTAATTGCAAGCAGATGTAAAATGCTGCTGAAATGAAAATATTAACGTTTGTTTAGATATTTTAATATGTTTATGTTGGTGCTGCCAAAATATCCTTTGAAAGAATCATATTTTTTTGAACGAAATGCAATAATGATGGATGTTTACACAGTAAAAATACCAAAACCCACAGACTTGTTGAGTTCTACCGTGTCCTCAAAAAGAAGTCGCAGTTAAAATGTCTGTATCATTACATTAGCTAATAAAAACAAAACAAAACGATACATAAACATGCTTGTCAAGCTGAATGTTTCACTAAGATTGGTTTATTGGGTTTGAAATGATAGATCTTCTATGATGATGTGGTTCAGCTTCATTGATGGTTGTTTCCATGTGATTGCAATTTCAGATTTGATGCCAGATTGTGAAATTGCCCAGTGACCGATCCATCAGACAGACACCATGACAGCCGTGAACACCCCACGAGACAGGTAAATGTGTGAGCGTAACCTCCTCACAGGACGACAAAGGCTCAATAGTGAAACTGCATGTGGATAAAATGACATGTCTTCCAGGTACAATGCCGTATGGATCATATTCTTCATCCTGGGATTGGGAACTCTCCTACCGTGGAATTTCTTCATGACTGCCACCATGGTAAAAACCGAGACCATCTTTACTGGCACATTATTTGATGAATTCTTGATTATGTGAAAGATACTGGATTTGGAGTACACATTTGGCAGTATAAAATTAACCAACAGTGAATGAATGTAGTTTTTTAATGCGTCTTGTATTTGGAGATTTTAAAGGATCTATTTGCATTTTTAGATTTTAATATTTCAATAATTCATACGCATAATAAGTGGGCGGGATGTGGTTGAGTTAGTTAGTAGTGTGTTGAAACTTGCAGTTATAGTAAGATGTGTGACATTTCCAAAACACGCTCGAAGCAGTTGACCAATCACAACACACCGATCCAGTCGACCAATCAGAGCATATTGAGCTTTTTGGAAGTAAGGAGGAGCTTCATAGAGAGCCTAAGCCCCCCCACTTTACATTTAAAAAAAAAACCTCAAAGTGCTACAGGTCTGACCATAAGAACAAAATCTAGACATATTTAAAAATCATAAGATCTGCTAAAAAGTAATGTCTTTAGACCCTTTTTAAAAGTGGTCTGTGGTGCCCTCGGATGGTCCGGAAAAATTGGTGTATATTTTGAAATTGGTTCAAATTGGTGTATATGACTTATTTGAAGATTGATTTACAAATTACTTTATGATGTTTGACGTAACGTTCACAATCCCATAGAGGACCGCTCAACATCTGACTTCTTGTTCTGTAGTATTTCACCCAACGTTTGAAGGACCCACAAATCAATGGAGTACACAATCTGACAGCCAATGGGACGGAGGGTCGTAACGTCCTAGAGTCAAAGTTCAACAATGTGATGACACTGTGCGCCATGGTACCGCTGCTCATTTTCACTTGCCTCAACTCCTTCATCCATCAGAGGTGAGACAAACTCTGAAATTACGTGTAAGAGGGATTCACAAACATACAAATGGGTTTAATGATTGACAACTAAATTGACCTAACCGGACATTGAAACTCATTGAAATTCTGTTCTGTGATTTTAAAGGAGTAGTTCACTTTTGAAAAAACTTTTGCTGATAGTTTACTCACCCCCATGTCATCCAAGATGTCCATGTCTTTCTTTCCTCAGTCTAAAAAAAATTAAGGTTTTTGATGAAAACATTCCAGGGTTTTCTCCATATAATGGATTTCAATGGGGTCCAAACGGTTCAAGGTCCAAATGAGAGTTTCAGTGCAGCTTCAAATGTCTTTAAACGACACCAGACGATGAATAAGGGTCTTATCAAGCGAAACGATCGGTTATTTCAAAGCTTATTCCAAAAATGTAACTTTTCCAAGGACAAATGCTAGCCTTGCTCTATTCTGTGAGGCGCGTTTGTAACGTCACGTAATACGTAATTACGTTCAAAAGGTCACGGGTGACGTAGCCGGAAGTACAGAGTCAGTGTTTACAAGTTGAACGCATAGGTTGAACGTGCAAACTAACTCAAACGCTGTTTACAAAAAAAGGAATTAAAAGGCAAAACAACGATGTCGGACGATTTTGATTCTGTACTTCCGGCTACGTCGCCTGTGACCTTTTGAACGTAATTATGTAATACGTGACGTTGCAAACACGCCTCACAGAATAGAGCAAGGCTAGCATTTGTCCTTAGAAAAGTAACATTTTTGGAATAAGTTTTGAAATAACCGATCGTTTCGCATGATAAGACCCTTATTCATCGTCTGGTGTCGTTTAAAGACATTTGAAGCTGCACTGAAACTCTCATTTGGACCTTGAACCGTTTGGACCCCATTGAAGTCCATTATATGGAGCAAAATCCTGGAATGTTTTCATCAAAAACCTTAATTTCTTTTCGACTGAGGAAAGAAAGACACGGGCCAAATAATGAAGGAAGGACATCCCTCGTGACTTGACACACTCCCATGTTCCACTTGTTTTATAGTTTTGTTGACTTGACTGTTATTCTACAATGTGGAAAATCTGTTGTAATGGAGAGTGATAAGATAATAAATAACATTTGAGATTATTAGGAACTTTCCTAATAACCACTCATGAAACCGAATCCCAGGAGAGTTGACATTGTGTTGTTTCCTGCCGCTCATTTCTCCCAGGATCCCTCAGAAGTTGAGGATCTCAGGCAGTCTGTCTGTCATTCTGGTGGTGTTTCTCATCACAGCGGTACTGGTGAAAGTGGAGATGGCCCCCCTCCCCTTCTTTGCTGTCACTATGATCAAAATCATCTGCATCAACTGTGAGTACCACATCATCGGCTGCAGTTTGTCTATTCCTGGCCTCTTTTGACCTCAGTGCAGTGGTATTCTCTCCTCTGGGTCAGGTCGCAAGGTTTGGTTTCATAATGGCTCAATGATCCTTTGATGCTGATATTAATACACAATATGTTTTGAAAATCAAGCTGGGGAAGGTCCTACTTGAAAGAACAGATCTGAAAGGAGTTAACTCTCAGAAATGTTTCATGATGTTCTGTGTTGTCATGACCTTTATGCGTTATCTCACGTCTTAACCAACGTTTTTCTTCTCAAACTCTTTTTGCAGCATTCGGGGCAATTCTGCAAGGGAGTCTGTTTGGTTTGGCTGGAATGCTCCCAGCGTCCTACACTACGCCCATCATGAGCGGGCAAGGGCTGGCAGGAACGTTTGCCGCCTTCTCCATGATCTGTGCGATCGCATGTACGTCTTCCTCCTCCGTATCACTCTCTTTAAGATCTTCTTTTCCAAAATTTGGAGCAAACCAGAATAAAGCTATTAAAATACAGTAGTCAACTTTGATGATCCACTTCAAATGTTGACTTCTGTAAATTGAAATAAAGCTGAGATAAAATAAAATGCAAATATTAGATATTAGATTAAATATTAGAAACTAAAAAAAAAACACAACAATTTAGAAATGTTTAACTGAAATAAAATAGGTTGAAGTACTAAATTCAAAAACAAAGCTAATAAAAATGAGAAACAACAAAATTTTAAATTAAAATGAAAAATATCAAGTACTATAATCGTAGAGTATGTAAATAATACAAAAATATTGAGTAATATTAATTCACAACGTCTACTCAAAATACAGTGAAACCCAAAATATTAATAAATACTATAATAGTATAAAAGATATGCTAAAATTACACTGGACCAAACCGATTCAAAGTAGTATTTGAAAGTAAGTGTATTGGGTTTGCTGCGCACTGTGATTGGCTCATCGGGTTTGAGGGCGTGGCTTAGCCATAGATCAATTCCACTGCGACTTTCATGAGTACTTTTAAATGACTGAATATATGTTTTGTGGAAATGTTCGTTTAGTTCGAGATTAGGGTTGTCAAATGTAACGGTACTCTCGGTACCAGTCGGTACTAATTATTATTTTTTTATTGGACCAATATTTCTGCAAACACTCACATTCGTGTTAGTTGATATTTACAGCATGTTTTTACAAGCATTGAGCAATGTAACCTATCACAATCATATCTGTTTAGCATTTGAATGCAATGGCCTATCAGTATGCTAGTCACTATGTTCATTGAACAATTAATACAGCTTTTTTTAATCATAACGGGGGTTTTGGCGAGATTTGCAGAGTGCAGTGAACTTGCTCTTTAGAGATTGACATGTGTTGTGACACTAAATGGAGGCTGTGCTCTTGCTTTCTGTTTATTACTCATTCACAATCTGAATACAAGTTTAGTTTTTAAATGCGCAATTGAATAAGAAAATAGGATGATTGACAGTGATAACCAACGGTCTGGTTTTTGCTCTGGTAGCCTACATTTTCTTTGTTTTGGCCCTGACTACTGAACTTTTGGTACCATGATGGCAACCCTATTCCTGGTTTTGACCCTTGTCTTGTGTTTTCCAGCTGGCTCAGCTTTACAGGACAGTGCTTTCGGCTACTTCATCACCGCCTGCGTTGTTATTCTCCTGGCCATAGTTTCTTACTTCGCCCTGCCCAAACTGGTAAGATTTAACGCCCTGACTGTTGAGATTCACATCTGTGTTTCATTTCCTCTAATCAATGCTGAGAAATATAATTCGATGTTTACATTTTGAGGACTAAAACGATTTGCTGTGCAGGAGTTTTTCCAGTGGTACTCTGAGAGCAATGGCTCTCGGCCCAGCGCAGATGAGGAAAACAAGATGGATCTGCTGAAACCAGGTAATGCCTGGCAATAATCTGGTGCTCCCTCATACACTCATGAACAAATATATGGGACTATTGAAATATATAAGACCATGAAGAATATGTGGAGAACTTTACTGAGACGAGGCTTGAATCTAGTCTCAGACTAAAATGCATGTTTGAGCTGTTTTAACTGAAAGCAATGTGCACTGACAGATCTTTAACTGAGCTAAGGCTTAATCTAAGCCCTGTTTGCAGGGTTCCCATGGGGCCTTGAAATCCTTGAAATTTTGTGACTATGAAAAAAATATTTCAAGGCCCTGGAAAGTTTTTGTAAATAAACATACATAGAGACGAACTCAAATGTGTTATCAGTGCTATTTTTTGGGAGATGTTGAAACCTCAGTGAAGGATAAAGCTTTTACCTGCTATATGGCATACCCAGTTGCTTCGAAGGTCAAGGAGACTCATTACAAAATTATGTTTAAGGTTTACCCAGTAAATGATTGCATGCAGAAACGATTGTTCTTCTTGTCCTGAAACACTCGATCACATTTTCTTTTATTGTCAGATTACTTCGAAATTTTGGTTTGATACACAGTAAAAATGGAGACGGTTCCTCCTATAGCCCTGCAAGATGTGCTCTTTTTTAAGTGTGATTTAAACTTACACTTCATTGATGTTGTACATTTTGTTTTATTGATGGGTAAATATCATATCCATGCTTGTAAATGGAAAAAATGTAAGCCCTCCTTTAATATATTTCTATGTGATTTTACTCAAATGTTTCAGAGCTTCAAATACTTCAAATAGAAAGTCTGAAACTTTATGTCTCTCTTTATCAAAATATTTACTTTTTTTAGTATTTTAATTCCTTTCATGTATACTGGCTATGTGATTGTCTTGACCCTTGCTCTTTTTTTTTTTTCTAAATCCATACTCTGTATTGATCTAAATGGAAGTGTCTTACAGGTTTGTTTGTTCCCTGTCTTGTTCTGTACATAATGCAAAAAAAACAAAAAACATACATAGAGACAGGTCCATATCTAGTTTTAAGAAGTTTTTTGTAAAAAAATCCATATTATTCCATCCGGTCTGCTAATGTGTTTTTTTCGGCAACACTTAGTTACATACATAAATCCCTGTGCATTTTACACGCGTTGCGTTAAGTGTTTTTAGCATGAGGTACTTCACGTGCGCAAAACTGTAACAATGTATCTTACAAGGTTATATGACCAAGGTTATAAGTCTTTGAATTTGAGGGTATTGGACCTGGGAAGTCCTTCAATTTGAAGTTAATCAAGGTGTGGGAACCCCGTGTTTGTGAAACCAGACCTAATATTTTTAAGGCAAATTAATCGTAGAAATTATGTTCTCTGAAGGCTACAAATAATAATATAGAGACCAAATACGGATGTCTCTGGTCAAGATTGTAAGGTCATTTATTTGGACCTCAGAAAATTGGTACTTTTATTTTATTTAATAACATTTTTGTTTTTATTTTACAGCATCTTGTCTTAAAACGCTATAAAATAAAACAAAATAGCCATAGTTTTCGCTGTATATTTTGACTTTGGGACACTAATGCCCTTAAATGCTCTAAAACTAGTCCCAGCACAGGGTAGCGTAACGGTGTCCTAATGTGTTTCTTCATGGTATTTCAAAACTTTTTTTGCTGCTAAATGACAAATACAGCTTTCTGATGCTGTGTCTGAGAGAAATTGAATGTGTGTTTTCGTTCTTGGCTTGCAGAAAGTGAAGCAGAGAAGAGGCCGGTCCTGAGTCTGACTGATGAAGAGACCAAACCCGCTGTGTCAGTGTTTGGCATCTTTAAACAGGTATTAGCTTCTCTTATCTCCAGAAATGGCACCGGAGAACAGGAAACCTTGGTTTATAATAACACGCGTCTTCTGACTTAGATCTGGGTGATGGCTCTTTCCGTATGCTTTGTTTTCGCCGTCACGATTGGCACCTTCCCAGCTGTCACTGTTGATGTCAAGTCCACTATTGCCAATGGAAGTGCATGGGGTGAGTGTGTTTGCATGCATGTGTGATGTTTCACTGTATTGATGTCCTCTACAGAAATGTCATTTCTGTAATTCTGTCTCTTTTCACAGAAAAGTATTTCATCCCTGTGTCCTGTTTCCTCCTGTTCAATGTGATGGACTGGGCCGGCAGGAGCCTGACTGCTGTTTGTATGTGGGTACGTATGTGTGTGTTGTGTTAGTCGGCGCTCTGAATGCTTTATTAGGGCTTTATTAGAGCATCTGCTTTTTGCCTTCCTTTTCTGGGATTTTGAACGTATTCCTATGATGAAGCTCTTTTTGAAAAGACTCAAGAGTCTGTTTTAGGGATGGGCAACGATTAATCACGATTAATCGCATCCAATATATGTGTGTATAATTAATTTGTATATATAAATACACACACATTCATGTATATATTTAAGAAAAATATGTTATTAATATATCAAATATTTATATTTATATATAATATTAATTATGTATAAATATATATTAAGTATATACATGCAAATATTTGTTAAATACATACATGCATGTGTGGGTATTTATATACAAATTAATTATACACACTACACACACGTATATTATGTAAACACAAACTTTTATTTTGGATGCGATTAATCACGATTAATCATTGCCCATCCCTAGTCTGTTTATTGTGTAAATGTTCCAGCAATTATCAGAACAGGGAAAATGATAAAACATTTCTCTGGAAAATCCTACATCATGTCAAATGGATAGTTCAGCCAGAAATGAAAATCTGTTGTTCCAAAACATGAAAAAAAAACCCCAAAGGACCATCAGATGATCATAAAAGTTGTCCAAAAGTTGTTTTGTAACAGTTTCATATTAAATCTAGAAGGGGAGCTAGTACATTGTGGCTATTAAATGTGTTTTTTCTGAGTTTAATGCTCAGGTTGTGATATAAACATAACGCAATTGGCTATTTTAAAAAAGGGGAGGGGCTGTTCGATATGTCCCGCCCTGTCTTCCTATTTCAATGGAAATTATGTCAACACATTGAATAATGCTGCTCGTTTTAAGCCACATCAGTAGGACTTTAAAGTCTTCATGTGGTCTTCCACCAAAATAAAAGCTCAATTGTTAAAATTAAAGAAGAAATGTTGTAATTTCACTGTTGTTCTGTAAAATTATATTCATGTTGATTATTAAATACTTGATTTTATCATTTTACAGTACAATAGTTAGTATTGGAACATCTTTTAGTTTGATCAAATATATATTTTTTTGAATAATACTAATTGCCGGGAGGTATGGCTGGTATGGTTGGGTTTGATCACATGTCTGGTGTGCACTGCAGTCAGCTGTCTGCCGCTCATGTGACGCTTATGTGTGCTGTTTACCACGGTCAATGTAACGCTTGTTTCGGATGCGCTTGAGGATACTGGTAGTTTGACTCGATTATGAGAGATTTAAATAAACTGAGCATCATGGGAGAATCTTGGCTGCAGTACATTGACTTGTTCTGGGGTATATGGAGATGGTGGATGAATTGAAATGTCATGTCCAGGCAATCGCTTTTAAATTAGCTGTATTGAGATTTGGTATTATCATGGGTTTTGAGTATTTTAGGGGCGAAACCACGTTCTCATGATCCCAGAATGTATTCAAGATGCCTGTTCGACGTCTTTCTCATGCACTGATTGGCTATTTAAGCAAATGGATTGCAGTGGTTGACCAGCAAGGGTTTTATAATGGCCGATGCCGTCCTGATAGACCTTGGTAGTTTATTTGATGATAATGACAGCTAACTGTGTATTGTGATTTAATACAAAATTATGATTTAATACAGATGTGAGATTATGATACTAAATTGATTGAAACATTTACACAATATTTGTATTAATATTAATATTCATAAATGCTTTATTTATTCGTTTCAGTGTTTTGTGTGAATTATCTATCGAAGCATTTATGAATGAGCTTTTATTTTTAAATTGATCATTTTCAATTTAGTTTTAACTTGTTTTATGTTATGTTTTTATATTTCTATTTATCTTTATTTTTTTCAGTTGTAGTTTTACTCATTTTTTAGTACTTAAACTTATTTTATTTCAGTTAGTAACCATGTTGCCAATCTAAGATTGTAAACGAAAACAGTTTTTAATTTTTTTGAGTAATCAATAACAAAAAAACTGATTTGCTAAACTATTGATCAATTTTGAAAAAATGGGAGTAATATAATATAATTTGACCAATACATCATCAGTCCATCACTAATAGTGTCCACAAGTGTGTATCGACAAATAAAAGGTAATTAATTTCTCTCCAGATTTGGGTGATGATGATGAATGTCTGACATGTGACCTCTCTCTGTTCAGCCTGGTAAAGACAGCATCGTGCTGCCCATCCTGGTCATCGCTCGCGTGTTGTTCATCCCTCTCTTCCTCCTCTGCAACGTTCAGCCCAGATACACCCTGCCCGTGTGGTTCGCTCACGACTCCTGGTACATCATTTTCATGATCCTCTTCTCCTTTAGCAACGGATATCTGGCCAGTCTCTGCATGTGCTTCGGACCAAAGTAAGTACAAAACAACATCAACATACACGCCAAATATAGTGCATATTACACTTTATATTGGTCTGCTAGAAAAATAATAGTCATGGTGTTCATCAGTTTTCTCAGCTCGTCATTATCTGGTGTTGTTTGTGTGGTCCAAGCAGTGACGTCGCTCTTCTTCTGTTTGGATTATGCACTTTTTTTTGGGTTAAATAAACTTCATCAGGCTCATCATCAGCCCATGACAGAAGTATCATTAGTTACATGTTTTCTGTTCCCACTGAACATTGTCCTCACAGTTTAGTCAAAGTTCTTCATGTCCTCTAATGTTTTGTGTTCGTCCCACAGGAAAGTCTCCCAGCAGGAAGCAGAAACTGCAGGAGCCATCATGGCATTTTTCCTCTCTCTCGGCTTGGCATTGGGAGCCGCGTTATCTTTCGGCTTCCGGGCCATGATCTAGTTCTCAGGATGAGGAAGAGGAACTTTAACCCTAGTTGTACACAGAGCCAGAGAGAAAGTTTTCATACTGCACATATATCCATTTGCCCCTCTTGTGTCTCTTGGAGAACTGCATATGTCATCTTGAATAGACTGGATTCACATGAGGATTAGAGGATCATTATGATGTCATCATCAAGCCAAAAACTGTCTGCATTTTTGTGTACTTGTATATTGTGCCATTTCAGTATTTAGCAATAATGTATAGGTCAGGTTAACACGTTCCTGTTTTAGTTTTTAAAATGTTTTTGTAGGTATTAACGGTTTTAATTGCCCTGTTTTAGTTTTGTTTAGTGAGACTTGCAGCTATTAGGGCAGTAGTTTACTGTAAAAAAAAAAAAAAAAGATTTTCTTGCTTAGTATTTTTGCCTACTTTTCCATTAAAAATTGGAAATCAAGATGAATTTGAGAAGGGATATTGCTGAAGCTTTAAAGTCCCCTTGTAGGCAATCATTGTATCCCTTAAAACTCATCTTTGTTCAACAAAATTACATTCAAAGTTTTTTCTTTAAAAATTATTCATGCCTTAAAATAGCTTGAATGTAACCTTGCCTCATTTAGTATACGTGGTTCTATGAACAATCAGCAGAGCCCCGCCTCCACTCACTCACTGACTCAGGTCAGAGATCCACGTGACGATCGCATGTTGATCTGATTGGTTACAAGGTAGTTTGTGTCATCAGAAACACCAGTGTGACGGGCATATAAACAACATTAAAAACTTGATTTTCACCATGTATTGTTAAAATTAAGTTTATGCTTAAAACTAAAAATCCCCATGAATTAAGTTTAATTTATTTGATACCATTGGCAGATATTTTTTTCTAGTTTTAAGCATGAACTTGGTGAGATGTTTCAGAAAACAAGACTTTTTGATATAAGAATGTTTAGATATTTGAAAACAAGACAAAAATACTGTAAGAAAATCATTTTGCAGTGGTTCTAGATAAACCGTACTGTATCACACATTAAAGGGCCCCAATTGAAGTTTATAGTGGTGTTTTGAATGTTAAAATAAGTTTAGATGTCTGCTATTCATGTTGTCAGCTGCATGTATTTGATTTGAATGTTTTTCAAAGAGTGAAGGTTTAAATTTTAACTTTTGTCATTATTTATACTGTTGTTTTTTAACAGCATTTTTGTATTCAATGTTTTAATGCAGCCTGTACACAGCGTGACAAATTTTAACATTATGTTAATGCACAACTTGCTTTGCTGACTTTTGAATGGGATGTTTTCCCAAAAATGTTCAAAATGTAAATGTGTGGCGGTGTGGGTGATTCTGACTGGACAGGGTAGAAATAAACACTTCTGTTTGTTCTTTTGATGATAATTTCTGTTTAGTACTTGAAGTACACCAGAAGCACAACTTATCGGGCTCATAATGGAGGGTTTCAGGAAAAACGGTTTGTAATTACAGGAAGTTAGCTTGGTTAGTGGCGTCATTCCTGTGGCAAACCAAGAAACCTTTTAATGCTCGACAAACAACTCTTTAAATCTTAAGTCATTGCTTCTCAAGTAGCACAAATGTATTTTGATTTAAGACTGTTTAGATTTGTTCTGGAAAATAAGACAGAAATACTGAGTTTTTGCTGTGAGCTAATACTGATTCGTTTTTATTAACGGAATATGTTGTTTTTGCTTATTTAAGCGTGAATATCTCCTTTATTAATGATATTCTGTTTAATGCGATACGAGCCAATGCTTTCATGACAATTTTATATACGAAGAGGTTATTTGAATATTTCATTAGACAAAAAAAAAATCGACCCAAAATGTCGTGCAAGGGCGGTTTCTCTTAAGATTAGGTGATCATTTTGTTTTAGTCAGTTCTCCTCAAGATCACAGGTAGGTGTAGTTCATATACTATTGACTTTATTTTCAACACTTTATCGATTTTTCTGTAATTTACAACCAAACGTACTGCATTTGCTAGAAAAGTACCGGTACTGTTTATTTTGCTGAATGTCGTGACAGTGTAAACGCCTGGTCGCAAGATGGCGCTGTTTTGAATTCCCATAAGCTTGAACACAGTTCCGGTGACGTTCCTGCGCTGCTATGGTGATCCGAGAAGCGTCCGAGGTTTTGAAGAGCAGGTTCAGGCGCCAATAAGTATTACAAAAATCAAAAACGTAGACTAAAAATGTATCAAAACACATTTTATTTTCGTCTCGACTAACATGACGGATTAGTAAACCCGATCAAACGCGCTTATTATATTAAACCGAGGTGTTAATGGAGCATATTAGACCAATTTCACCAATCCTGCATTTGGATTTGGATAATTTTAACTCTCCCGAAGCTAAAGACAGCAGATATGTTCTGACAAGTCCACGTTCACTTGAATCCTGTGCAAGACTGGGAGTTAAACCTGTTGATCTGCTGTTCAGATCCCTCACAGATGTTATTGATGAAAACCTGGAGTCCTCTTTGGAGGAAGTGACTGAATTATATGAGGAGTACGAGAAAGGAAGAAGAGAACGACTGCGCTTGTGTCAAGAGGAGAGAGAGCGGATCATACGAGAGGGCTGGAATAGCAAGTCATCTGTAAAACCCTTCACAGCCCTGGAAACCGTCCTAGAACACAAAGCTGAGAGTCTAAGCACCGACTCCAAAGCCAAAAGTCCCAGTGATCCAAGCTTCACAGATGACCGTGCTCATTCAAAGTCTGCGATCACCATCTCAGACAGGTTTACAACCACACACGCTCAGAGGTTCCCCTACAGTTTCAGTCTGGCCGACCTCAGACGTTCTCCTGCGACGGAGCGCCGACTAAAAAGCCTCTCGCAGGAGATCAGTCGCAAACTGTGCATCACAATCCCGGAAAAAGATCATAAGATTGCCTCATTGATGCTGGCCAAGCATGAAGAGGAGCAGTTCCGCTTACGGCAGAGCAAGTTCGAGGAGCAAAATCGTGAGGAGGAGAGGAGGCGTGAGGAGGCGCGGAGAGCTCGCTTGGAGCAAAAGAAGCGAAAAGAGCTTCTACGACATATCCGTCGCTGGCAGGAGGACTTGGAGGAGCGAAGGAGGCGTCGAGAGGAACAGGAGGCCGCTCTTACGGAGCAACGCAAACGAGAGACGCTTCAACAGGAGGAGCGCTGGAGAAGACTTGCAGAGGAGCAACAAACTCAACGCTGGTTCAAGCATAACGTGGCAAACAGGGAAGCGAAAGAACGCAAGCGCTACCAGGAGAGGCTCCGGCAGGAGAAGGAGCGCAACGAGGAGGCGCAGCGAGAGACGGAGTCGCAGGCGGCGCGTGAGAAAGAACAGCATGCGATGAGGAGCAAGCGAACGCAGGACAAGAGAGAACGGAGGAGAATCAAGCAAGAGAACGAGAGGGAGCTTCTCAAGCACCTCCTCCTGAAAAAGGAGGCCGAGGAGCGGGAGCACGCGGAGAAGGAGCTGAGGAGAAACGGACTCGAGCGGAAGCTGCAGCGCTCCTCGGAGAACCACGAAGTGCAGGTGGAGGCGCGCGTGCAGGAGATGCGGCTGCGTGCGCTGAAGGAGGAGGGGCAGATGCGGACGGTGCAGGAGCGGCTGGAGAGGGAGAACAGGGATTGGGTGGAGCAGAAGCAAACGCTGGTGAAACGGTGCCAGGTGAGGATGGAGAACGCCGTGCGTCAGGCGCAGGAGGAGCGGAGTCGCAGAGCTCAGCGCGTCAGGCGAGAAAACCAGGAGAAGGAAATGAATCATCGCAGACTACAAGACCGAGTCCTGGAGGAGTTGAAAGCGCGGTGGGAGCAAAGATGCGAGGCCGTGACGCAGAAGGACGAGCGCAGGGAGAAGCTGCTGAAGGAGAGGGCAGAGGTCATGGAGAGGAGCCGAAAAGTGGCTCACGCCTCCTGCTACATGCGGGACAGGGTGAGGGAGCAGACGTCCCGGCGCAGCTTTGACCAGATGGCTCGAGAAGCAGAGCTGAACGCTCACGTGGGTCGCCTGAAACTATGACGAGCGCTACCGAGTTAGTCCGACTGGTGATAATCAAATTACAATAGTATTAATGCAGCCAAACTATAGTTTATAGGCACATTTGAAATGGAAATCCAGCTTCCAGCACAAGTATTAGACTAGTTTTATGTCTGTTTTTTCATACAAATGAGGTGTTTACAGTGCTGATAAATGTATTTGTTAAGTCAAAAGATGATTAATACGCTTTTAGACTTCACCAAAGACAGGCCATGTATTTATTATATAGAGAATTTATTTATTTATTGACTTTTATTTGAACAAATAATGTGATTTCTGAATGCTTTATTCACCAATAAAGTTTTGGAATATTTCACAATATTTCTCTTTTTTTTTTTTCATTGACAAATTCGAGACCAACTTGGTTAGAAATAGTGCTGTCAAATCAATTAATCTTGATTAAACGCATCTAACATAAAAGTTTGTTCATAAATATGTGTGTGTGTGTTCGATGCGATTAATCGATTTAACAGCACTAGTAAAAAACATTCACATTGTGCTTGGCCAGTACTATTGCTAATTGCAAACTCAGTCAGGGCATTCTTGTGTTAAGTTACTAAAAAGATCATCACTAAAATTGCAGGTTTAAGATAAATAGAGTCTGAAAATGCACATCTATTGGTGTATCAATAGCTATTTATCAGCGACAGACCATCATCTTTGTTATTCCTGGTTCAACATTCCAATCAACCAATCAGATTTGAGGGACAACTTGCAGTTTTTGTCAAGTTCAGGCTTACAACCAGGATTCAGTTTAAAAATGCACACAAACAGTAGCTTTAAATGGCTTTTAATAGATTGTCACGTACCAGAGAGACTATGCCATATCAAGTTTGCACTGCATTGTAATTCTAAGCATAAATATTGGTTTATACTAATATAAGGCATTCTTGGTTTAATAAAATACAAAAAACAAAAAGCAACAATATTTTTTAAATCTTTGGAAAAAAAGCACTGTATTGCACTTATTTATTGCAGTGAGAAAAAATGACTTCAGCTGTAAGAGAAAATATAATTTGATTCTAGGTATAAGAATGTAAATATCAATCTTTTTTTCTTTGATTCAATATGACAGTGTGGAGGCGACAAATGACCAAAGTCGGACCATAACTGCACATATATACCAGCACGGCAAAAACCAAAAACAAATTAAGAGTTTAAACTGACCATGTGGGAAGTTTCACAACACTAATCATGATCAAACAAAACACAAAAACCATTCTCAAATCTTTATAAAAATATAAATCATTGCACGTCACATATCTGCCTGTCGGATTGTTTTTACAGGTCAATCATCTGGCAGTCCGAGGGCCAACAGCACGGGCAGTCCCATGCCCAGGATGAGAGTGAGGCTCTCCGTGATGCCCAGACCGCCCTGGTGCTGGTAGGATCCAGATCCCGGATGATGGTAGAGGTGAGTGGAGCTCTGCTGCCCTCTGCTGTTGATTTCAGGCAGAACATGAACTGTGGCCACATACAAGAAAGTCCCAGCTGAGAACAGCATTCCAATGCCCGTAGTGCTCAGACGGCTCTGGGACGAGCCATTAGACTGCAAAAGATTTTAAAAAAGTATATTACTTATTTTAGATCAGTACAAAAATAAATAACAACAGAAGAATTAAAGGGAAAATATGTAGGTTTACTACTGTAATGTAATGTTCACACACTCACACCACAAACATTTTTATCTAGTAACTTATTAGAAACAAACATAGCAGCTTCAAAAATTCAGCCTTTATAAACAGGGTCTAAAAGGTTTTGTCCACTTTTGACTGCTTCCACGGATCGTCTTTTGTGGCTGCTCAAACACATTCGACTGCATGAGCGTTTACACTATGGAAGAAATCCGGCCGCATGTGTTTGAACAGCCACAAAAGATGCTTACTCTCCGCCAAGCATAAACATTATGGGAAGCGCTCTAGCCAGAGGGGATTTAAACTGTCGGCTGGAGACACAAGTTTGGTTTGAAGACGAAAAACGTACCATTCCTGATTTCTAACACACACTCACAGCGTTCGCCTGGACTTGTGGTTGTCAGAGCAGAAACTAAAGCTGATGCTCTCTGTGTGTTTTTCTGTCATCTCCGGTCGCGTTCATATGTAAATTGCATGAGCTTATTTTGTCCATTAGATCAAAAAGTTCTGAAAAAACACATACATTTATCCGCCCATAGACCCTCCCCTTAAAGAAATCAGGACAGAAGTGGTTAAAGTGGACAAAAGAGATGGATTAAAACACCAGGTGTAAACCCTCATCTAAAAGTGATCCGATCGGCCAAAACGCATCTTAATATCAGGTGAAAACAGGGCCTAAGTTTCAATGAATAAAGAGAACAGGGTCTCTCACCGCACTAAGGATGAAGTAAGTGCTGATGGCCATCAGTGGCGCAGCAGCGGAAAATGCCAGTAAATGCATCTGAATAGTCTTCCTCTCCAGACCTGCGTGCATGAGGAAAGACACAAGACCAAACGCGGCTGGAGCCTAAAAGAGAGAGAGAGAATTTGTGTTGAATAAAGCAAGATAATTGTATGTTAACTGGAAACAAATGCATGGCAGTGGACAAGGTTTTTTATTACGATTGGCTAACATTATATGGTATTGTTATTAGAGCTGTCAAGTGATAATTTTAAAAACATCGAATTAATTACATGATGTGCTGATTAATTAAGTGAATTATTTGCAAATGACCCCCCAAAAAAATCATTTAAAGGAGTAGTTCACTTTAAAAAAAACTTTTGCTGATAATTTACTATCGAGTAAATTGTGTTTTTAAAAGTGAACTACTCCTTTAAGCATGTATGGTTAGAAAAACTCGGATTTTTAACATGAAATGTTGCGCAATGCACCTTTAAAATCATTACTGTGTTAGATAAGTAAAGCATTGATTAGTATTGTGGAAAGTAGCTTTAGAGAGAAATAGTTTGATTCATTATGATCATTTTAACACGTTTTTTTCTAAAGTGTTGTCTATGTTAAATTGAAAGCAACCCTAATTATTATTACTAAATCACTAAATCGAGTGAGCCATTGTTGATATTATTATATTAAAGTAGGCATGGGCAACGATTAATCGCATCCAAAATAAAAGTTTGTGTTTACATAATATATGTGTGTGCAGTGTGTATAATTAATTTGTATATATAAATACCCACACATGCATGTATATATTTATGAAAAATGTGTTATTAATATATCAAATATTTATATTTATATATAATATTAATTGTGAATAAATATATATAAAATATATACATGCACATATTTCTTAAATATATACATGCATGTGTGGGTATTTATATATACAAATTAATTATACACACCACACACACATATATTATGTAAACACAAACTTTTATTTTGGATGCGATTAATCACGATTAATCGTTGCCCATCCCTATTTTAAAGACTATAATATAATTAGTTTTTCTTAGATTCAGAATTTTGTGGATATGTTAATAGTTTTACATTTGCATTTGTGCATTTGGCAGACACTTTTATCCAAAGCGACTATCATTGAATTTGAGGAATAGATTTGATCAGTTCATGCTGGGAATCGAACCCATGATCTTGGTGTTAGAGTCACTTGACTCAGCAGTCAATCAGAAAGACCGATACCAGTGAAGTCTCACCTTGTGCAAAATGACAGCAAAAAACACGACGACCTGCACGGACACCTGCGATGAGGCGGCAGCTGCACCCAGAGCGACACCATCCGCTATAGAGAGAGAGAAACAATGTGAATGTCATGCAAATAAACCTCACAAGCTGTGGGCATCTCTTCAGACAAGCCAAAACACTGCAACCAAACCAACTGAGGCATCATTATTCTCTTTTTGTGAAAACAGAAATGCAACACCAAACCAGACAATGAGTTCAGGGTGTTTTTAGTTGCTAAAGTATGTCCCTTTTTGGCAATTATAGGACAGATGCTGTGATACACACACAACGGAAGATTATTTAAAACCCATTGTTACTGACTTGAATAATCATCCTCAGGACATGATTCGCTGTAATGTAATCTGTTTTATGTGGGAACACAATAGCGGCATTGAGGCCCTTGTTACCTGCGGCGTGAATAAGCAGACCCAGGGTGGCAGTAACACTGTTGCCACTGTGCAAGCGCACTCGGGATTCTGGGAAACAGGACAAACAGAAATATTCTCAAGAGAGCATTTCACACCGGGCTGTCTTTCCGCAGACTTTATTGTGTCTGTGTGCGGCCAAGTGGAATAAATTAAATTCATGATGCATGCTTGCTTTATGTTTTCAATAATATACTAAGACTTCAATTTGGCACATTACACTGAACTACTGAGAATTGAAGACAAAATCTTAATTCACCCCAAAAAAAAATTATTCTGTAATTAATTATCCTCATGTCGTTCCAAAACACTAACTTTTTTCATGTTCAGAACACAATTGCAGATCTTTTTGATGAAATCTGAGAGATTTCTATTATTTTTACGATCTTTTTGAAGCGTCTCACAGTGGTAGTCAATGTCAATAGAGGGACAGAAATCTCAGATTTCATCAAAAACATAATTTGAGTTCTGCTAGAGAACTCAGCAATGGCAGAATTTCATTTTTGGGTGAACTAACCCTTTAATCGGGTCTACAAAATAGACCTAATCTTTATCCAAAGTGCAATTTATTATAATTCTGTTTTGATTTTGAGGTGAAATATGACCTAAATATTTCTCAAATTGAAGTCATGTAACCCCAAAAGTTAGGATTTTTTTTTTTTCAAAGAAGTTGGATTAAAAATGCAAAATAATGTTCTGTATCTGTCATAACTCTGTCATAAAATCTTTTGTTGTATACCATTTCAAAAATGATTAAAAACAATATAAGGGAACCTACACTATAAATTTCTATTCTGAACACAGCCAATAATACAGTATAATTATAGAACTGTGTTTATGATGATTGAGGTACCGTTCATGGAGCAGTAGTTGGCAATCTGATCCACCATAAACATGAGCGTAAAGCCCAGGACGAGAGAGACTCCTATGAAGAAATGAGGACGCAGACCTTTTTTTTCGACTAGATGAAGTGTTGAATTTGATCCAGATATATTTTGATTCCAATCCATAGTGGAGCAATACCAGTCTATAGTGGAGGAGGAGAAAACATGTATTTGCAAACGTAATTGATCATGGCCTGCTGAATATGGGGTTACCATTTAAATGACTTTGCATAAAAGTAAACAAAGAAAAAGAGTGTGCATGACTCTGCATATCTATTCCCTGATAGAGAAGTGAATAAAACAGAGGAAGATGACCAGTCTTACCTTTCCATGACTCCTGCACTAGCTCCACCCCCTCTGGGATGATGATTGACAGGGCAGTGCCACATAGAAGCCCCGCCCCCAACACAGTTATCAACTTTAGCTTGTGCTGTAAGGGTGGAAAAATGTCTTTAAGTAACTTTAAACTTGCATTTCAATGTCAAAAAAGACAGTTACTGCATTAGCTGTCAATAGTCATGGACTTACATGATTTATAGTATGAAACTGACAAAAATGTACCAGAATATTGCAATGTTGACAAGGTAATATTTGAAATACCACATGAACATGGTAATCTTACCATACCACAGTATGTTTTTTGTACGATGACATTCAACTCAAAATATATAAATTTGAACTGTTTGCTGTAACAGCCCAGATATTTTTTAGATCCAGAAAAAATCACGTGCAGAAAAAGCAGCAACGTTACGTGCCTGAACGCAAATCCACAGATTAAAGTACAAGGTATAGTAAAAACCTTAATGATACAGCTTAACTTCATTTATAACGCATGCAACAATGCACATGTAGTGCATTTAACACTTTGTTTTTATCTGCATTTGATATATTGCTTTTTCGTCTGTAACGTTATGTATCCCGTTATGTTCTGTTTTACAGTAGTGGATAAACAACACTTGTTGAATGTGAATCATCTTACCTCTGATAAATTGATCAATAGTGGAATTATCCCGAGCACGAAACATCCCACGAACATTGCCAGAGATATGAGAATAACACCCCAAGCTCCGTCCATGCTTGCTTCTGTTATTCAGCCCTTCCGATCAAACCTCTTGACGCACATTCAAGCTGTAAACACCCTAAAATACAAAAGGAAGGCACGATATCCTCTTTGAACACCCAAATGAAAGGCATAGTGGAGTTCTCCACGTCTCAACACCCTCCATATTCTTCCACAACCTTAAACTACACCCCCAGAGTTTGAGAAAATGAATAACCGGTACATGAAACTGAAGTGCTCAAAAGAGAGTTCGATTCATTTAAGAGAATCGGTTCCCTTTCGGTGAACTGATTCGTCGTCACTCAGAAGTGTCATCAGAAAAAACATCAGTCGGAATTTATTTTGTTACGTTTTATTTCTGTTGTAAAACCGCTGTTTATTTGTATGTTATCACTATTAGGTTATGAAGATTCATTTCTAAATTACTTTAAAAAAATTTAAATATATTTTGATCGACTACATTTTGTGTACAACGTTTGTGGAGCATTATTTGCTTACGTTAGGGAAAAAACAAGCACAGTTGACAAACAAAAATATTTTCACCTGCCAATCGAGTCACTTAAGTACGGTAACGTTATATCATTTAAATGTTGTGAACATTAGATATGGGCACGCGCAAAAGCCGTTGAACTAATTGAGAGCGCGCGCGCGCGCGGCGCTGCCTAGAGCGTCTGGGACGGCGTGATTCTGAGGTAAGCGCGGGCTTCCCTTACAACGCATTACTTCAATAACTTTTAAAATACATGAAAATATTCTTTGAGAGTATCGTCATAAGAAGATTCTTTTTATATAGGTAATGTGAATTTAAAAATAACACGACTAGAGCGCTGTTAATATGGTTATATCAGCTTCATACCGACAATTTTTTGAATTCAATTTGAGTTCATTTCTATACAGCTATAGACATATAACAATGGAGTCTAATGTACTTGACCTCTATCTCTTTGTCCCTTCAATATAATTGTTGGTAAACACTTTAATACATTTTGCCAACGACAAATGCAGTCGAATTATTCGACTTTACCGTTGAAAAGAATCGGTTCAGATGAAAGATTCGTTAGTGAATCAAACATTAGAGTAAACGTGAGAGCTTATGACTCTCTGTTCCTGTTTTTCCTCGTATGGAGACACATCACAAGACTCCACCATAAGACCATGAGAGGTCAAAGATTGTACTCACTGTTTCTTGGCAGAGGGAAGAAAGCTGCCATAAAACGATATCATGACTCCTCATAGGAGATCAAGAGCACTTCAAAACCATATTATTTAAACTTTAAAATTCTTTCTTTTTCTTGTAAAGGGTGTACAATTGTTTGTTTTAAGTCAATCCACTCAATAGTTAAAGTCAATAGTGTTTATCAACAACAAAAAGATTCAGTAATTAAACACATTTGGTCAGAAAGAAAACTGCTTAAAAATTATACCTTTTAATTTCTGCATAAGTACAAAAAGTACTAACTCAATCAGTATAAATAATCATACTATTCACTGTAATATAAACTATACTATACTATGTTTTAAATAAGTAGAAAGAATCAGTAAAGTGAAACAATTAGCACATTCCTTTTTATAATTTATAAATGACATGCACAAACTAATAATGAATTTCTTCACACTTGATGTGGTTTTGTCAGTAAATGTATTTTATTGTTCAAAGACATGTAAGAGATTGAAGATGACACTGTACAAAAGATCATTTGAGGGGAGGTTGAGATACAAAACTATTAAAAACAGCAATCGCAAGCATAATATGATCTTAAGGGAAATCTAATTGGACAAAAGCAAACAATTCATGGTCGACTGTACACGGTTTTGCTGTCTAAGCTGTACAAATGTAAATACAGTTTAGTGTTCAGTTTAGCAGCGCAATGCTTCTATTTACAAAAATATTACACCGATTTAACCTCTTCATTCCAGTTCAACATTGCCAGTTAATTCAAAAGATGGAAAAATAATAGACAAATGAAATAAATACTGTGGACAACATCTGTAACAAACAGGAAAAGTCATAAAGATGCATAAATAAATTATTGCCACTGCATCATGCTTCAGAACAGTGTTTTTCCTTAAACAGATCCAGGATGCAGTCATACGGACATCACCTACAGTATCTAAGCAGCAAGAGCGTCAGACGTACAAAGCACCGCAGTTACTCGTTGTCCAAACAAGATCAATTAAAAAAAAAAAAAAAAATGGCTTGAAATTGTTACATACACCATGATAATGTTACACATCTGACACAAAGTGCATAGCCTACAGTGTTATTTGCGTTTAAAAGTTACAAAGCTCCTCAGTGATTGATAGATTAGTGTGTGATATACATAAATTTAACTAAAAAGATCACTGATCAGCTTCCTAGTGTTCTAATTCACAAGCTTACATACTGTACACCCGACGACTGTTGTTCAAGTCAAGAAAATGACAGTTTAAACACTGCATTGCTATTCGTGTAAACAAATGACACAATGAGAACTATTTAGGTCCACTAGCAGGAAAGATTAACAAATTAGGGACTGGACAGAGAAAATAAAATGATGTTAAAGCAAGTACTCGGGCACAGCCTTTGTCTGCTCCAATAACTTTCTTAAAAATATTTCGTTTCCAGTTCTGACTTGCATTTCAACAATGCACAGAGAGCAAAAATGCAATATGTATATGATGGACAAAGTAGCAAAAATGTCTGAGCATGGCGACGACTAGATATAAAGAGTGTAGTTGTCAAAAAAACAAACAAACAAAGTATTAATAGTGGTCAATAAATAGTGGTCATTGTACTATTCTTTTTTTTTCAGATTTCAACCACTAAATGATGCATAAACCCAGTCAAATGATCTCAGAACTGCTTGTGTCAGTGAACAGCTCGTACAGTAAATGCACACAGGTAAGACGAACCATATCATGGATTCTGTTATTTCCAGTTCTCTTGTAAAATCGCGAAGGAACACACCACAATAGCAACAAAGTAGGCCATATTAAAGACACGTATGCTTATATGACCAAATGAGACTTAGCTATCATCATTACCCAATTTTTAGGGCGTTCAGGGCATGTTTCAATGATTTCAATGCTTTTTTTTAACAGTAGTAAAATATGTTAAGGGTTAATGCCTACATTATCATTTGTTAGCGCCAATAAAAAACCCATCATTTCATACCCAACCCATGCATAATAAAAAGAAAAATTCCACCTTAATGTCCACATAGGGAACCTGCTGTGCGTTGAAGTTCAATTTGCTACAGTATCAGTTATTGACAGAACATTCCACAGTAGAGCAACACAAAGTTGGTCCATTTGATGCCTGATTCAGAAAGTAGTGTCATATCACGCATAGCGCAAGTATGGATTAGAGATGCAAAGGTTTACATTTAAACTCTCGAATCATTGGATGCGCAGAAGAGATGCGTTTGATTTTGACCTTGAATGGTTACAGGGATGGCGAATTGCCTTTGAGTCTGGCTTTTCCAGCGTTCGGTGGCTGTTTTCCTCACAATCCGTTAATTCAGCAGGCTGGTGTGAGTTTTCCATTAGTAGTAATGCCTTTATGTTAAATACATTCACTTTGGTAGAGAAGAATGGTAAGTTGCGTGAATGAATCTGCATGTCTTAAATATATTGTGCTATAGTGCCATTTCAGCAGGGCCGAGAAAGTAATATTTGGTTCCCTTGCCAAACTCAAAACTTCAACTCAACAGTCTGTCATTCTGATTAATGTTTATTATTCAACAAGCTTTTTGAAGATATGTGATTTCACACAATATTTGCTTAATGATCAAATCCACCATCACTGAAATGCTTTGGGCCTCAGATGGTAAACATTGAGAAATAGTTATCTGTTGCCATATAGATTTGTTTTCTGTTTTTAACAGTTGCCAAATTGTATTAATTGAGCACTATCCTATGTAACCAATGAAGAAATATTCAGATTTTTCCCTATGCAAAAGATTTGTGATTTGTCTTTGTGAAATCCGCCCACCTGAGATAGCACTATAGCAGTTTAAATTCATCATAACATATTTTTAATGGCAAATTAGTCATCATTACTATTTTTGGTATTATTTACTATACATGAGACATGCGCTTACAAGGGCAAGAAACTTGGTACTGACCAAATGCTGTACGAACAGGGCAAACATTGCAAAGAATAATTATGAAACTATGAAGAACCAATTTCTTATAGGTGGAGTACAATCACAAGCCACTTCAGATTCTTGACAATTGGCCATCCTGTCTCCAAGCCTTAATAATAAAGGAGTGTTTTAGCTGTCAGCTGCGATGGATTCACGCACACACACACACACGCGCTCACACACACAAGTAAGTGTAGTGAGGTGTAGTGGATCTCCTGCTAGTTTCTCTTAAGTTCAGTACATGGGGTGGCCCTGGCATGGGTCACTGATGCACCTCGTTCTCAATAAGGCTGTCCTCTCCGGACTGGAAATCCCCCTCGGTCACCACTTCCTCATCCTGCGAGGACGCCTGGCCCTCGTCCTCGCCAGTGCTCTTCTCGTCCTGTAAGACTTGAGCGACGTACGTCTGCTGATAATAGATAGAATGTGAAGATGTAAAGAAAATAATCAGCTGACAATATAGCAATACATCACAGGGCTCCAGACTGCGACCATAATTTGAGTGTGCGGCTAAATTTTACACCCAGTTGCACATGTGCGACCAGTAAATTTGTCGTTTCTTTTCCCGTCGTTTTTTTGTCGTTTGTCGTTTTTAAAAAAAAAAAAACTAGGGATGCAAAAATTCCTTCTTGCTCAATATGATTATGAAAACTTACCACAGACTTGACAGGTGGGGATGAACCTGGTGGTCGTCCATTGTCCACACCGTCCATGTCAATCTGTTGTGAATACAGGAAGATCACTTTGCTGATTAGAGGAAGTTCTAGGCTAGACTGTGTATTAAAACTGAAAAATTAGATAAAGTGGTTTCTGACCTTATAATTGTGCGCACTGAGGTATTTAAAATGACCGAAGACGACATGGCAGAGGCAAATGATGATGGTGATGATCAGAACCACAAAAGTAAACATTGATGTTGGAGCGCTAAAACCTTTAAAATTGAAAAAGCAGGGGAGAAAAAATGTTAGAGACATGGCAATCTTTGTGCAGTTAATCTCTAGTATAGTTTCTAAAGCCCAATTTCAACAATAATCCTTTTTGACCACTGAAATGCACCATATGGTAACCGTTGCACTTTGTGGTAATGTGTGCACAATGTAAATATGGACACTTTTATTACTGACATGCTGGAAACTGTTTACAAGAATATTACATTCACCACTCCAATACTGTGAGTATGTATATTATATACATAAAATTAATTAATTATATAGATAAATTAGGGATTTTTATCTAATTATTTAAACAAATTTGACTGGGGGTTTTTGTGTACAAAAATTAGCGTAAGAATTTTTCAATTGATTAAACATAGAATTTATTACACATAAACTTTTATGCATCAACAGCCATGAGGGTGAGTAAATGACAGAATATTCATTTTTGGGTGAACTATGCCTTTAATGGATTTTTTTAATGAAATGATACTCTTTATAAAAACCTAAACCGCCAGTAGGTGGCGGTAAATGTCTAAATGAGTAAGTCATTGGGCCCTATCATAACAAGTGTTTTTTGCTAATTTCAGCCCGGCGCAGTTATCATTTTCACGTCCTGTGCCACGTTGTTTAAATGGCAAATGCATTTGCGCCAATCTGTTCGCCCATGGGCTGCTGGTCTAAGAACGAGGTGCATTGTTGTCGGTGCAAGTTGTCACTGAGGTCCCATGCAAATTTATTTTAGATGTACCATGAGAAACAACTTACCGTCCGAATAGGACTTTTGACACCTAAAAAGGCTGTGTAGGAAGGTAGCACATTAGTGTTTAGAACAGAGCCACTGTTTGGCGGTGTCTTACTTGTACGGACAGTAGAGAAGAAGAGCAGCCAGAAGAGGCAGAGGATGGGTGCTGCCACCACTTGGTTGACAGCTCCAGAGTGGATTTTCTTATCCAGTTTGGATGGCAGGTAGGCATAGTACATGTTGTACCTGTCCACCAGGTGCTTCAGTAGCATATACATCAGGCCTGCAGACAAAATGACAGTCAAACAGGTTTTTACTCTGTTTGAAGATCATGTGAGTGGTGTTTGCCTGTGGAACAACCACCACCACAATGCGTCACTCACCAAATGGTACAATAATTGGACAGGTGATGCTGTAGGTCATGACCACAGTGAAAACGTTCATCATCCAGGCATAAGCAGCTCCAAACTGGAACTCATAAGCTTGATGCTGTAACAAAACGCAACCACACGTGAATCACAACATTAGGATACGAGTTATCGAGCATAAAGAGAGGAATTCAGAAATAAATACATTAACAGATGAGATATTTAGTAATCATGTTTATATGATTATAATAGTAAGGCTGAGAGTATCGTTCACACTTGAAAATTACACAGACCTTCTTCACGTTGCGCCTCTCGGCTGCTGAGCGTGCCAGACACAGTCGGATCATGTACATGAGAAAATAAGGAATGCGTAACAGGTCCATGGCGTTACCGATGAAAGCAGACGCGATTACATAGTTCACAAAGAAAGCTCCGTTATCTGGAAGAAAGACACACCTAAAGGAAAAGAAATCAATCCATTAAAACTTTGCTATCTGCAATCTCAAAATGTATGCGCATGAACCAAATGTTTTGTAAATCCTTTAATCAAAATCAGATGGTTAGAACTGCAAATCCTTACTCGAACCGGACTTTTGCCTGGTCAAGAAATGTCTTGTCAAAGAGCCAGCGGAAGAAAACATCCAAACTGCATTTAGGAAAAGACCAAAAGAAATGTTTAAGGCAAATGAGAAACAGGTCAGTCCAAAATTACCTGGATAAAACAGTTTAGATTTTTTTTTTTACTCAAAAGACAATATTTGTGTTTGAAAAATTTCAAATTGAAATATACATCATTATAAATTAGCACACTTGCATACATCAACAATGTCAAAAGATTGTTTATTCAGGATTATGTTGCTTAATAAACTATTTTAACCCCCTTTTAAGATAATCCAGTAGCTATTGCGAAACAGTCAGTGTTCTTTAAAGATATATTAAAAACATATGCAGAAAAGATGAGATAACTCTTTTTTCATCATAACATCTGTAGTTCTAACTTTTCAATGTAAACCAGGTATGATAAAATACCTGCTCAGGCCCAGAGATGGCAGCAGCAGAACCATAAATATGAGGAAGGTGTAGCATTTGTGCATGGTGGTTCTGTTCTCTCCAGATCTGAAGAGCAAAGGTCACATACTCTATGAGTCCACCAGAATATTTAGCATTAAAAAAAGACATTGATATAGAGGGTTTGTTATTGTACCGTGTCCAGTGGGCTTCAAAGAAGGCAGAGTAGTAGACGATGGTGGGGAGAAGGGCCGAGAAGCACCACAACAGCAGGGTGGGGAAGAACTGGGTGATGATGGGATTCTGGAGGAACAGACAGAAGGAAAGTAGGGAGTTGATGAGTGACAGAATCATGACCCCCTTAGTCACACTGCGTTGTGATGTGCCGTCTCCTTACATTTAGGTACTCCACGGGTTTGGTGACGTTGAACTTGTCCATGGTGGAGATGATGATGGCAGGGGTGGTGAGGAAGAAGAGCAAGATGAAGAGAAAGCAGTTGATGACAAGGCAGCGAAGCCACCAGTTGAGGCCACCAGTGGACAAATGCTCCCTGTGGAGAACAAAGCACAAGGTATATACAAGATATATAACAATTTAAACAACTACTGCAAGTATATCCAACTTTACCTTGATACATACAGTACGCTTACGTTAAGCAGCATTTTCTACATAGCAAATCTGACCTACTTGATATTGAGAACTATATTATCACCCAGTGATGTATATAAAAATTTTGGATAAATAGTATAACCTACTTTACTATTTACTACTTTACATACAATAAATTAATGTGAAACTATATATATATATATATATATATTAGGGCTGTCAAACGATTAATCGCATCCAAAATAAAAGTTTGTGTTTACATAATATATGTGGGTGCACTGTGTATAATTATTTTGTATATATATATATAAATTTACACACATGCATGTATAGTTAAAAACAAATATTATTTATATAAAAAATATTTATAGTTATATATAATATAAATTATATATAAATCTATATACAGTATATACATGAAAATATTTCTTAAATATATACAAGTATGTGTGTGTATTTATATATATATATATATATAAATAATAATTATACACAGTGCACCCACATATTATAAACACAAACTTTTATTTTGGATGCGATTAATCGTTTGACAGCCCCCTAATCTTTCGCAAATCTTGGATGCGTGACTATTGAGAAAAGCAATGTATACTATAGCAATTCTCAGCTGCCTTGATTATTTTTATTTAGTTGCAAAATGTATATCCTCGGCCAGCTCTTTTTAAAAAAGTGGATATACAAGTATGTCCAAATACATATATCGTATAACTGTTTGATTACTTGTATTGTCGTATAAAAATGTATATTGTTGCCCAGCTCTAATTTGCTAAATGCGACTATAGGGCACGAAGATATTAAAATATTATAAACATTAACATCATACTTGTAAAGCTGCTTTGAAACAATGTGTATTGTGAAAAGTGCTTTAGAAATAAATTTGACTTAACACTCTCCAAAAATAGCCTAGTTGCATTTAAAATGGCAAGCCCTAGTCAATATATAAGTAATAATAATAAAATTAATAATAATATGCATTTTGCAATTTCCAGTCCACAATGAAATATTATGGTATCATCGATTTCAGATTTACCTGCATGTAAAAAATAAATAAATGTACGGTTTGTTCTGGCCAATAACTGCCCATTAACACAGGAAGTAACTGACCAAAGTGGATCCTGTCTAGCACTGTGAAACTACAAATAATCATAATAAATTCATGAGATTAAAGATGAGGATGTTACCAGTAAACATTCTGTGGATTTGGAGCATATGTGACTGTCCAGTTGAATGTGTTGAGCCCGTTGCTGAAGGGGGAGGACTTCGGCTCTCGTCGACAGTGACTGCCATGACACTGACACGCATTAAAATCTTTCAGGATGCTGGGAAATGAAAAAACAAACAAACAGGTATCATGGTACCTCAAAGAATACAATGGTACTTCCATGATAATTTTCAGTACTTTGGTTAGTGTCAACACACACAGATACCAAAATGTCTATTAGACTTACAGGGCTGTCATGGCTTCATTCTGGAAGGTAACAAAAGCCATTCCCAGAGGTTTAGTGTTGACTTTCTCACGTTCTTTTCTGTATTCTTCCTTTAGTTTGGCCTCAAGCTTAGTGTAGTAGTTGATAGCCTCTTCCTGCAGGAATGGATTAACATTACAAGAGTTAGACATCACTACTAAAATACTTTTTGTTGTAAAGACCCCATGAAATAAAAATATGATATTCTGGTCTCTAGATGTGGCACAGGTCCCATCCTCAATGCAATGTCATTTTCTGGCCTGTTTGATCAACTTACTTTGCATTTTGCGCAAAAGGGAAAATGTCCTCCCTGTAACTTGCTAGAGAGACATTACAGTCATCGTCCAGAAGGGGGGGATGTGTGCTACGGAAAAATGGCTTGTGATAAACTGGAAGTATGCTCATCTAATGAGGACACTTGGGAGCTGCTGAATATACCTGCGCTGATGTTGAACATGTCTCACAGCAGCAGAGCGTACATCATCCTGACTAATATGACTGTAAATACAATGAAGCGGAATTACAGGCAGCAAGACAGCGGCTGTGGGCATCCTGACTGTGTGTCTAATGGGGAAAGGCTATGCATTCATGATTTACATTCGAATGTGAAGTGAAATGCATGATGGTTCATGTACTAATATGAGATCAAACACATTGGGCGGGGTGACTGGAGAGGTTATATGCATGTGACATGTGAAACTCCCATGAGCCTCAGGGTGACACTGACCTGCTCGCAGCCACTGATGATGCAGCAGCAGAGGTGGCCGCAGGGTTTGGGGGTAATCATGTTGGGAATGTGCTCCTTGGCCATCAGGTCCGTGTAAAACTTTTTGCTGCGTTCTGCCTTTTTCCTGTAACAATTTACATTAAAACATGTTAATGTAAACAAATAAAATAGAAAATTTCAAACAAACATAAATAACTAAATTAAGTATCTGACTGGGCAAGATCTATCTATCTATCTATCTATCTATCTATCTATCTATCTATCTATCTATCTATCTATCTATCTATCTATCTATCTATCTATCTATCTATCTATCTATCTATCTATCTATCTATCTATCTATCTATCTATCTATCTACACTGTAAAAATGAATATGTTTTATCTAATCAATAAAATTGTGGCAACAGATTACAAGCAATATTATTTATTAAATTGAACAAATTAAAACTGAGTAATAGTTAATCAAATTAATATTCTAATTAATTCTAATTTGTACAATTTAATTAATAATATTGCTTGTAATATGTTGCCACAATTTTATTGATTAGATAAAGCATATTATTTTTTTCTATCTATCTATCTATCTATCTATCTATCTATCTATCTATCTATCTATCTATCTATCTATCTATCTATCTATCTATCTATCTATCTATCTATCTATCTATCTATCTATCTATCTATCTATCTATCTATCTATCTATCTATCTATCATCATAGTACATATCAATGCTCAATGACACAAATCGGCACCTTATTTTTCTAAAGTTCCTTGTGTGCAATACTTAAAATGGTGACTGAATCTTGTCTTAACTCAGCTTGTAAATTTCTTTACCTTTCAGACTCCAGAGACATAAGCTTGGCCACATCGTAACAAATGCGAGCATCCAGAACTACGCAGTTATCATATGCTTTCCTGGATATTAAAACAAAGAGATAAAAAGGTGAGAATGTGTAAAAGGCATAACGAATTTATATCTATATAAGCATTTCTAGTAATTCCAACTTTCTCGTTTAACGTGGCACTCGAACTCAATGATAGTCTTGCAGGAGCCAGACTTCACTATTGTCTGGCGCTCACTGTAGTTTATGCTAGCCAAGAATTGCTCACTTAGACAAAAAGCGAATGACCACTACACCAAGTAAAATGAAGCCATTGCTTTTTTTATGTGATGCACAGAGGGGAGTAAATCTAAAATCAATTATACCAAAATAAAAGACTGGCATGCAGCAAATTGGTAGGCTTTTCAAATAATGACACAGCAGTCTCTGTGAGGCGATGTACATGCTGAAGACAGGAGTGGTAAATTATTTGTACACTATCAGTTCTTAAGTAATGTCTATGGGAGTATACAGGTCTGATGTTTTTTTCCCAGTTGGCTGAAGTCGGACAGATTGCAATATGCTTTGAGATGCCTGTGAGACTAAGGCGTAGGAATCAGTTCTACTTTATTTTGTGTTCGTTCTACACATCCTGCCTTCTATATCTTTCTTTCTCAATCGGTCTGGACCCCATCTGTGTTTTCCCATAAATCCTTGACATAGAAGTTGAAAAAGACATGTATTGTCCTGACACATTCTTCAGCAGTAAATGAGATTAGATAAACTGAGTGGATGCACACACTGAACGTCTTGTAGCCACATGACCACTTTCGAACAATTAAAACAGATAAGGTTGTCATTTTCTTACATGTCTCAGCATAAGCCTAGGCATCTTAGTGTGCTTGAATTTACTGTGTGGTTTGGGATAGGTCACTCCAAAAATAAAATCCTCATGTCCAAAAGAGAACACAAGAACATCCAGCAAAAGGTCCAAACAATATTGGACCCCATTGAATGTCAATGTAAGGGGGAAAAACTCAAACTTCAAAATATCTCTACAGAAGTCATACAAGTGCATACATTTGAGATTTACCCATATATAAAGTGCTTTGAAAAGCGCTATATGAATGTAACGAATTATAATTACACACTTAGTCTTTATTGATGATGAGAACAAGAACTTACTCAAAATGCTGCTTTATTTCACTCTCTTCTGCATATTTTGCGATCCCGTTAATAAATAAAGTGCGTTTCACCTGTGAAAGGAGACAATGTGGAGACATCAGAGTACAGTTTGTTAGCATTAGAAATATTATTTCAACCATAATATTGATTGATGCTCTATGCTGATCTCCATTAAGAGAGCAATGTTTTCATGCAGCACTAAACTACGTACCTTAGGATATACATATTTAATTTGATACAAAGGACAGCGAGTCGGTGAAGGGACATATTTATCTGTTCTTATCATATTCGTTCACTTTGTTAAAAAATAACCAAGTTTACATTCTTTAAAGATTCATCTGTACACAGAAATGTTTTCATCATGTATTTTCATCAAAACATAATATGCCTCTGAAACGACTTCATTGCCAAGGTCTCTTATTTTCAAACTCCTTTTTCACATTTTTCAAATTCCTAATGGATAAAAACCAAGTCCCACCCTCCATTATTTTCAGGTTGAATATCCCGTTTCAGATTACGCAAGAAAAGTTGGTTGCAATGGGCTGTTTACCCTGACTTTGCTCATAACTCTCTCCCAGGGAAAGTGAAATATTTGAGCAACGTGGGTTTATGGCAAAATGAAATCTGAAAATAAAGAAATGCTCCTGGCTCAATTAAAATAGTTGTTACTATAAGTGCAAGATACTTACAACTGAATTAAAACGTTAAAATTGACCAGTGTTCTTCAGGGTTTAAAAGCAGAAATGTGACGCTTATAAGTTATACAACTATTTTATGTGGTACGGGACATTATTGCTATGTTACTATTTATATTTTGAATAGTTTTATTTTTTATTTTTATTTGAGTAGATCAAGTTAAACTAAATGAAAATGGCAACTAGCTGAAATAAAATAATTTTTATTTTAATTAACATTTACCTTATTTCAAGTTACAAACATGTTGTTGTAATTAACTTAAATAACCGTGGCTGTAAATAGAAACTTGTATTGAACCCAGAACATTTCTTTGAAGTGTTTTGGGTAAGTTGTCTCTGCTCACCAAGTCATCCTCTTTGTAGTGCATCTTTGATGTGTGTCTCCTCATGCTGTACACAGTCAGTAACAGATATAAGCAGGCAAATGTAGTGTGCAACCATAGCAGATTATTACTGAAAGAGAGAGAAAAACATAGCTGATGCATTCATCAACCATCTTTCAAAGGTCAAGTAAGTGTCACAGACAATACCCGCGCTTACTCAGAATATAAGTTGGCTATTGTAGTTCGCCCAAAACTGTAGGCATTATTTTCTGCAGAGAGAAAAGACAAGAAACTGGTCAAAGGGAGTCTTTGGTCGCATACACTAAAGGAAGAGAAACTGGAATGGCTGCATTCAGACATATAATCCTAGATGACTCACTCTTAACTTTTCTGACTCACCTAATAGGTCTCCTGAGAAGTTAACAGGCAGGACAATGCCCACAGAGAGCACGCCCACCACCACCAACAGACCAATGATGTGCCGCTGGAATGAGAGGTAGTGGACGGCATCCTCGCCACACTTCTCCCTAATCTCGTCATCTCTGGAAGGGGTGAGAGAGATGTGTTAGTATACCCTTAAAAACCCTAAGATTTTTATCTGATAATTAAATTATTAACTATAAAAGAATAATAATACAATCTTAAATTTATTAATATTACTTTTAGTAAACAAGCACAATATTTAGCTCACAATATAAACAAAATAGCACTATATAAATGAAATATTTGAAAACTTTTGATACATTACATTGAAGTATTTGACATTACAGTGCACAACAGTGAATATAATATAATTTTGGCTAATTTTGTTATATACTTCACTTAACTGGAATAATCGGACTAATCTTTTTCTGGTGTATCGTTTCATTTCCTCTACTTCTAATTTAAAAAGGACCATAGTCACTGTTGGAGTTTTGTGATCAAAAAAAAAACACACCATTTTTTTTTTGTAGTTTTTGCAGCATATTTCCTATAGTTAGTAAGTCTTTACATTTCGAAGTTACAGTGTGTTAAAATAAACAGAAATACAGTAAGTATGTTCATAAAGTAAAAGGAGAAAGGACTCACTTTATCCTGAAGATGGCAGTTAGCCAGGAACAGAGACCCTAAAAAAAGAGCATAAAATTCAATTCACTCTCTCTAACTATTGTCTGTCAATCACCTCAACATTCAGAGACATTGACAATGTCTCCAAAGCAGTTTCAGGAGTTGTTAGAGAATGCCTGGGTGCACGTGACACCAGTTTACATAAGTGCAGTTATTCCAGATCACAGCAGGGAAGGGAGAGGCAAACAAATGGCTGTCAAAAGGCATGTGTGCGCCATTATGAAACCCACAGGTGTGTGTGCATTAACAGTGAACTGTGAACAGTATGCAAATTTTGCACAGAAACCCAGATGATCATCTGTTTTCGAGAGTGAACCCTTTCAAATGACTCATGCCGGGGATTGCACCTCTCAACATGTGTCATGTGCTGCTTTGACCTTCACAAAAAAAAGCATTGCACATAAAATCGTATAACAATAATGTTTTATTTTTAGCTGTAAGTATAGTTGTAGTAAACGATACTAACCCTGATAAAGACACATAGGAAAAATATCGTTGAAATTGCTTTCAAAACGGCTTATAGCTGATGAATGAAAAATCTTGACCAGAATCAGAATTCACCAAAGTTTAAAGAACTCAAAGAACCCCTTTAAAGAACCCCATAAGGAACCCCCGTTTTTACAATAATACTATTAGATTTAAAACCATACATCTTTTTAAAAGTCATTTATCCATAGAACAGTAGTTGAGTTAACTTGTAGTCTCTGTGTTTATATTTACAAAATACAATTATGTTGGTCAGTGAAGACATTGGAAAACTTTTTTTTGTACTTTTGACTGGTAAAAAAAGTTCAAGAGATTGAACAAATCACAGATTTGCGAGTTTTATTACATTTTACAAAATGTCCAAACTTTTCTGCAAATGGGGTTGTTGTTATCGCTTCATGTGAATGGAATGCAAATTTACACTTAATAATTATATTATTTATTAATGTGCATAGATTAGAATATTGCATAGCACTTTGTTCATAAATCCGTAAGATGGAAATACAAACCGAAAGAGAGAACACAAGCGCAGCGCTGGTCTACACAATGTATACTGTCAATACAGTGTATATTGTGCAGTATGCTAGTATTCCATTCTGCACATAGCCATAAGCATCCACAAAAATGACATTGCAAGCTACTTACGTTGTCCCTTTGGTCAAAGTCGACCGAGCTGGACACAGAGGTGAGACGCTCGTATCGGGAGTCGGCAGGCGTCTGCATGGCGGAGGCCACACTGAACACAAACACACATTATCAAACACATGCCCTCACTGAGCACTGAACTCAAGCTAACACTAACACACAAGTGTACAGTCACTTAATGGCATGCCACTTCATTCAGCAGTTATTACAATAATGATTAGATTGATGTTGATAATGGAAGATCTGTAATATAAAGCATTGTGATGATCATGGTAAAGGACTAGTTCAACCCAAAACTCTTCCTCTCCGCTGCAGTTCTCATTTCTCAGTTAATTCAAAAAAATAAAAGATGGTCAAAGTTGTTATTGATGAGACAAACCTTTGATGTATTATTTAAAATGAATCAATACAAACGAACAAATTTCCAGCAAATAACACGTGCTAATTCATAAATTATTTTTGTGGGCTTTTTTTGACAGTCAAGTCAAGATACATTTATCTGTATAGTATATTCACAATACACATCGTTTCAAAACAGCTTTACAGAAAATCATGATGTTAAAGTTTATAGTATCTTAATATCTTCATGCCTTTACATTCAGTCACATTTAGCAAATTAGAGCTGGGCGATAACATAGTTCACATTTTGGGATGATACAAGCAATCAAGCTGAATTGAGTTGTGCTATATACATATATACACACACACACTTAAATATACTATATGCATGGGGATACAGTTATATGCAAGTTATATATAGCAGTTATATACTTATATATGCAACTTTATATAAAGAGTTGGATGATAATATAGTTAGATTTTGCGACAAAATAAATAAAATTACACAGTTGAGATTTGCTATATGTAGTACATATCGCTTTATGTGAGTGTACTGTATATGTATGCAGATAAAAATGCATACAACGGATAAAAGTGAATTATATAATATTATATCATGATGATATAAACAATCACACAGGTCAAATTTCCTTTTAAGTATATATTGCTTTATGCAAGTATACTGTATGTATGCAGGTAAGTAGGATGGACAACATGTTCAAATTTTTCTGTCTTGTCTTAGTCCAAATTATTATCTGGCATGGAAAAAGAGCAAAGGGTGGATAAATGACTATTCCTTTAATAATCTTTACATACCGCCAGTGGTGATAATTTATAAAATGCAGTTTATATGTCTATGTGGTGTTTTTAATATGCTTTAGCACCCTCAAGCGCCCCAGTACAACCGGGCCTGTCCGTATAATTCGCTCTTACTTTTCTTCAGAATCAGTTTCGGGTTCAAACATATATGGCTGAATATTTCCACTTGCCATTGTGTAGCGTTTACTACAGTTGACCAAGTGGATTGGGTAGGTGCGATTGAGCTAATTTGCACATTCATGGCCCCACGTAAACAAAAAGCAAGGGTATAGTTTTACTTAAGCTATTTTAAGGCATGAAGACATTTTTTTACAGGAAAAAAAAACGTTTAAATATGTCATTGTGATTATTAAAGATTAGTTTTAAGGGATAAAATGATTGACCGCAGGTGGATTTTAAGTGATGGGCACAGCTCCTCCAGGCTCACATTACTCCAGCTCCATTAGAGCATATCAAGGCTAACCACATGTTGGGCATGCAGCAATAAGTGACTGTGCACATACAAACGCAAACACAGAATTAGCATCAGAGGCTCAGGGGCATTACACACAGACTGTTCACATAGAGACTGTAGTAAACCTAGAAAGGAGATGAACATGCAGAGAGGAGCATACATTTGATTTGAGGCAGAGTGTGTTAAACAGAGATACACAAAGACACACAGATACAATGACCTCCAAAAGCCACAATTCATAAGTATGATCTTCAGTGCATTAAATAAAATGTACTAGAAATCTGCAAACGTATTTAGCTGCCTGTCTTTAAAATGGCATTATTATGTTTGATAATTTTCAGTCTAATTTATGTAATCAAAATAGTTTTTGGGGCCAGTGTATGTGTCACTCTCTGGCTACAATAATCACAAACATTTGGACTGATTCTATAGGACAACTTCTATAGGGTCCTTCTAATAAGTATCCATCCTTATTGCTTGTCAATGACCAAAACAATCAAATAACTGGACAAATCACAGGTTTTCATCAAAACAAGATCTTCCAGTCACACAGGGGTTTTCTATGACATCACAGGATTTTTTTTTTTTTTTACCTCTCCCTGTAATCCTCTTCCCTGTGGGACCTATAGGGTGCTAAGACCCTGGCCAGAATGTCCACGCTTACAAGAACGAAAACATATCATTTAATGGTGAAGTGTGTAGTTTTTAAAACTTTACAAAGAGAAACTACACTTTATAAACCATCAGTTTGACTTCCTATAAGTTCAAGACTGTGGTGCTTACAGAACATTGCTCTGTTTTTTTGAGCAGTCTGTTATTCAAACTACTTCTGCGAGTTTGAAAGGGACTACCTGTTTATCAGAACAATGGAAGACAGGGATGAGAAATTGTAGTAGGAGAGTTTAGGAATGTGTTTGGAAACTATTATCTTTGCAGTTTCATTTGGTGATTCGAGTTACACACTTCATCTTTAAAAGACACAAATCCACACGAGACACATTGATTAGCTCAGGTAAATGTGATGATTATCTTGAGAAACCCTCAACCAATGGACTCTAGGAAAGAAGTAAATTAAAAAGAACAAGAGAAAGAAGTGAAAAGAGTTATTAGGAAACAGATACACACACAGTGAACAAATTCACCCCAAATCCACCCGATAGACACAGCAGAAGAAATGCCAGAGAGCAAATTCAAAAAGCGGACACAAGGTGTCCTTGGAAGATAGAGCTGAGCTGAAGTGTAAAAACAACACATACTATTCCTCGTCCAGACGCTGATAGTGCTGATTCCGCCTACTGATGAGGGAAAAGAAATGATTCAAGTTCATGCTCGACAAAATATGAGATCATTCATTCAGAGGAAGATTCTTTTACTCAGCTGAAATGCAATGACACTAATAATTCAATTCAAGTTATTACATGTAATCAGGAAATTCTCATTATTGGTTTTAGATGTCATATGATAAAATAAATAAGAATAAAACTATTCTAAAAAAGAATTTAAACAAACTATATTGAAAATAACACAAAATTGTTTAATCCTTGATTTTGATTGGATTGCATTTTTCTTGAGATAACTGCACATATCTCCAGTTTTTGTTAGCAGCTTTACAGTTCCACATCACTTCACCACAGGGCACAAACTAGTAATGGTGGCTTGACCTGTTTGCAAGCAAGATACTAAATCTGTGACGAAAGGAAACTGGAAAAATGTGTTGGGATAAACATACGTGGTCACCATGACATAAGTGCAGTAATTTACTGTTGAATTATTTATTAAAATTGTAATGGATAGCCAAGTTGTAACATGCATTAAGCTTCATGATCTGACTTTTCAGGATTTCACTTGACCCCAAGCAACATTTATAACATTTAAATTGATGACTGGAAAGTTATAATGTAGGTGTTGTACAAAAACCAAATGTTCAAATTAGAACAATGAATGCTGGGTAGGTACACACAAAATAAACCTTTCCATTTATTAAGGGTTGACACTTCTTCTGTAAATGGATCTGACTCAAGCTGAATCATGACTTTATGCTAGCCTGAAGCCCTGAAACATGGAGAGAAGTTTCTGACATCAGAGTAGTAAAATGTGACTATGGTATCTGACTGGACAAAAATTTGAGGTGCCCGGAATATAATCTGATCTCCCCATAAACACAATCTCTTATGCACTTATGTGCTGCTCAAACCAGTTTCCAAATCGCTGGATGCGAGTGTGATTGAAAGGCAGGGTCATATTACTAATAGAATAAGACTAGCTGAGCTGTCTGAACAACCAATCCATTGGCTAAACCCATTATGCAGGAGGCGAGAGCATGCTGTTGTCTTACAGCATTCAGTGCATTCTCTTCTATTTCGACAAATCAAAGGTCTACATCAAGATTGATGAATCCAGTGTCCAGCTGTATATATTTAGTCTGGCAAAAAATGCTGGAAATGTTGGAAAGATGAGTGTTTATTTGGGGTTAGATTGGGGCCAAGAGCATGCTGTGAACGCAGCCAGCTGAGGCCGCAGTATGAGTCGCTGGAATAGGACTGTGCAAGTGCTGTCTTAATTGTTTTACAGTTTGTTTTTCATTGTACTTCAATGAAAATGACATCAAAACATTTGAAGGAATCAGGGCTACATTTATTTTTGTCTAATATTGTTTACTATAAAAAGCTACTGTATGGAACATAATAATTTTTACCTGTCGGCATCAGATACCAATGCGAGACGGCCATAATCCCACGCCACCTTCCTCAAGAGAGAGAACACACACAGCAGCACCTGGAGACCAGGAAGACACGTGTTACTAGCTATTCGTGTATTTTTCACAATCAGCAATGTCAACATAGGTGAATGCATAATATGATAACGAACACGGTTAGTGAACTAGACTAGTGAACAATTTCAGTGTAACAGTAAGATCGTATGAAGTAACATTACTGTAGCCTACTAAACGTGTCTGGAAATGTGTATTATAAACAATGTGATAGTAGTGTGGTGACGACGTTAGTCAGTAGATCTAGTAAATAAAATAAGTTACATCCTAAAGCACCAGGAACATTCTTTTGTATCCATTTCATGTTTACCTTGCTATTTCAATAGAGTTTACTAATATGTTGCCAATGTTGATCCGCGTTTTCGTCCGGAGTCGATCAGATTCACGTTTTGCCTGACGAGCTTCAGCAGATAAAACTTTTTTTTATTTTTTATATTTATGTGGAGTTTGTGTTTGAGTCTGTGTCGTGCTGGCGGCAGGACGTTTTGGGCTGTTATCAGACTCCATGTCGTCAGCTGAAGAGACTGTAATAAGGATAGAGAGGCTCGGGAGCGCGCTTGCACGTCACATCTGATGGATTTCGCAGGGAAATCCGACCAGGAGACCTCACTTATAAATATGAATATTGGCCTTCAGAGGTAATAGCAAAACCCGAAAAGTGGATCATTGCAGTGTGTGATTACAACCCCTTCAAACACAGGCAATAAAAAAGGATTCATTTTATATACGTGAGCCATACGCATTAGATGTTAAGCCATCGGTCTGTGGGCATGAGGCGGAGACTAACTAATAGTAGTCAATGAACTAACTGGGTTAAGAGAATGTCCACCACACCACCAGAGAAAAGTTTTTCACTTTCACCGGAAGATTGAGTTTACAATAAAATCTATAACATGCATTTCCAAAATCGTTTCGTTTCGTCGATCTACGAACGCCGATCCATGTGCGCTGGTGAAATGTGAATAAGGTGATAAGGTGAGCGCGAACAGTTGGCTACAAGTACATATTGAAGAGAAGAAAATGGTTTGTGTTTGTGTTTCTTCCGGAAACAACGGACCATATGAGATTCTGCACAGTTCAGCGCACTTGGATCGGCGTTCGTACATCGACTGGTAGAGACTATTTTTCAAAGATGGCTTCTTCCTGTTTTCGCGAAGTTGACTGTGTGTATAAAACATCTTCTTATTAAACTGTATGGACACTGACAAAGTTCTCAATGCTTCGGTTTGAATTTAGGGACCCTTATTATGCTACCGTGTTAGTGCGGGGCTATTTTGAGCCTTGTTAGTGGTAATAACAAGCGATTTTTATTTGTCATTACTCTATGCCCTATCTACTAGCGTTATACTTGTAGGCTAAACTGTTTTTAGAGATAAAACTATTTACACTCGGCAATCATGAAAACAAATCTCAGATAACGGTTGACTTGGTAGCAATGTGTAATTAGACCAAAGGTTCATTTTGCGCGGGAGTTGTCCTTTAAATGACAAACTCGTGGCAGATGAAGAGAAATGGAAAATTGTAGGCTTGTGATACGCACCAAGAAGCACATGAAGTCAAGGGCGAGTACGGTGGGCACTCCTCCGAAGGGCAGGCCCTGGAGCACGGTGCTGCGGATCCGGCCCGTATAGCAGTAGTCCTTGGAGCTGTTGGAGCTGGAGCAGTTGTGCTGGCCTGTGCAGACCTCAGCTTCACTGCTCACAGCCATCATGAGCAAAACTAAGACAATCAGCATCCTCAGTACTGCTGCATCCTGAAACTCCACCTGTTAGGAGACAAGAGGAAGAGCGATATGAATAATGGTGCATTCACGTGCTATGGAAAAGATGATCATTTCCACTTGTGAACTGGTATTTACCAGTGTGTTGCATTCAAGTGCTTTTGTTGTCGATCCAGACCTGTTATTTAGCTAAAACTATTTTAGATTTATTAAGTCATCTGCTACTGCAAGAAGATGATTTATCAAACTCAAACGGAAAACAATATGCTATTTTCTAGATCATGAATTGAACATTACCATTCACAACTCTCACGTTGCTCTCCGCCATTTTGAAAAGGTCAAAGGTTATCTCATCTCGGCAAATCATGCATCAAAATATTCTACGAGCTGGAAAATACCACATGAGAGGGTGTTATGTGCATTCTCCACGTTGGCTTTTTGTATTCATCAATTACCATCGCACGTGAACGCACCATAACTTTCAGGGGTATACTTGCATATAGATGATGACGGAAATCGCCAAAAAGCTCTAATAGTGATCACCTGGTCTTTAAAGTGATAGTTATGGGAAAACAAAAGGAAAAATAGTCAACATCAACTTGAGTGTTGAGTCTGTCATCCCGCCTGACATCTTTCATGTTTGCAAAAGAGACAAATTCATAGAAATGGTTTGATTTTTTTTTTTTGGCATATAGAATTCAGAATTAAGAATATTATCTGAACATATTTAAAGCTCAAAAAGGCTGAAATAATTGTAAACAATGAATCTGGCCTTGCTTTCATCTGAAAGCAAAGAGAACGGTTTTGCAAAGTATCTTACAGGAAAGACTGGTTCTGTAACATTGAACACATCAAAACAAATCAGCACTCACAGCTCAATATCAGGAATCTGCCCCGTGAGTCGTGACTATGACGTCTAAAGGTGTAACTTGGCGAAATATGTAGCTGCATGAAAGCTTTGCTGTGAGTGACTGACAACTCATCTCTACATTAAGAGATCTGTGGAGCTCCAAGTCTGTGCATGCTGTGCTCTGCTACCGCTGGCTCAACACAGACACATCTATATTCCTCCTACAGTGAGATCAGCCACTAAACCGCTTGACAATGGACAAACAGAGGCCGAGCCATCTCTCTGAGGCAAAATGCACCAACTGTACCAAGTTCTTCCCGAGGGAACACGGTCTAAAATAGCCAGACAGTAATATGCATTTCAAATACTAAGGAATATTTCACAGTAAATAAAAATGTTTTTCTTTCTTCTGTGAAACACAATTGGATGCAATTTTTGATCTGCATAGCTTTTTCCATTTTTTTCCCTCAACCAAATAAACTCCATAACAGTATTATAAAAGTAGTAGTTTACAGATAATACAGGTTTGAAACTACATGGTGAGTGTGAGAAAATATATTCAATTCCTTTAATTTGATAACTTGCCACATTTAGTTCATTTGGGCATGGGCTTTTGGTTTGTTTCTTTTCAGTTACCTGTTTGCTTCTAGTTTCCCACAACTAATCATTTTTTAACAAGCACACTTGTCTGTATTTAGTTCATTATCACTGTGTATTCTACATTCAGTTCTTTGTCCGGTATTGTTTGTGTGTTTCGTGTCTTTGTGTTTTGCCTAAGTTTACTTTGTTCATCATTTGACTAAGATGTTAGAAATAGGCTCCATTAAATCAGGGTTATTATAGTTAAAACTAAAACATTAAACATTTTTGTTACTTGAAATAAAATAAAGGTTAACTAAAATAAAATGCATATGAAACCTTTCATTTTTATTTTTTCAGCTAGCTAATAAAATATTGAAATCAAATTGAAAAAAAATAATAATAAAAACTGTAGACATTTAACATAATAGTAACTAATATAAACGACAAAAACGCACTAAAACTTTAAAAATAAACAAACAAAAAAAAATTAACAACTAGAATAGTAAAATAATACTGCTTTAAATATGCAATAAAGTGGGGTTCATTTGAACCGATTGGCACCCATTGCCTATGTGAGTGAGTTTAACAAATATTATTTCAGATATATGAATATATTTAATCTGCTGGTCATTTGCTAATATATTGTTCAAAGGATGCAAGGAATCCACTAAAGCAACAAAATACACACACATTGGCTGTCCAGTGTGAATTAATGTCAGAGTTATGTTAACCGTGACAGCAGGACTCTGACTTTTCCAATGGAAAATACAGCAAATAAGGGTGATGGGGGAGAGAAAGTCACACGCTGCGTTTCATAACAAACCAAACTCTGTGCCAAGCCAGCTCAAGGTGAGGTTAGTTATCATCTCTGACAACAATTCACTTCCAAATTCCAATACTTTATAAGGAAAGACTTTATAAATAATTGTTTAACAGCAGCATTCCTGTTAAAAAAACCAAAAAAAAAACTACATTACCCTTGCTTCTTCAAAGAAATCTCCACCAATCAGAGAATCGTGACCAGAAATTAGCGCTAAAAAACACTTTAGCTTTATTTATTTCACTTTATTTTATTCAAATATATAACTATATATTTCTGTACTTTGTCTTTTTGTTTCAAATAGTTTATAACTATTTGTATATATGGCTATAACTCTTAAATAGGCCTATGTCACGAAAAAATTGAAGACCGGAAGTAAGTCTTTTAGTTGAGATACGGCACTTCCAGTTAGCTTTTTACAATGGCGGAGTCCGATAGATACCGCTGGACCAAATCTCTCCGCAACCTGCCTGAAGTCACATATGACGATGTGATTCGGATGTTAAATGAAAGCTCTCAAGTGGGAACGCGTGTGAAAGCTGAGGTATGGCTGCCTACGTCCTGATGCAGAGCAACACGGTACACTACAACAACAGCCGCGGGTAGCTCTAGCCGGTAAACGTTTCTATGGTAACGGCGAGTTGGACCAATCAGCAGACTTTGCTATTATACTTAGGATTGTGGGTAGTGTAGTTTTTTTTTATATAAGATCGTGGATAAAAATGTTTTACAAACTTATAGCTTCAACAGGAGCAAAAACCTTCGTTTCACAACCTCATAGCTCGTGGTCGGTCTACCTCGGATGGTTTAGACATTAGGGCTGATAATCTAAATCCTTATATCGAGAAACACTGTTGACCGGAAGTTCTGTATCCCTACATGTTGCGGAAGCAGGAAGTGTGACATAGGCCTATGAAGGCAACAAGAACATAAGACCGCTGAAAAAAGTGGGCGGACTCTTTTGCACATAGTCAGTGTTCTGGGTTTGTTCACACTTCTGCAATTGTTACTGGCAGAACAGAGTGAAACAGTTAAAAGGCCAGATTAGATCAATGATTTAACCGCATTCAATTCAACGTATTATTGAATTAATCGCAAATGTAAACGCATTTGGCAGATTTAGAACAGTTCCTTTGGGACAGATGGCTGGGACATCCACCCCGCTGCTGTTCTTCTGAACTCAACGCTAATGCCGAGTCATGAAAACAAACAGCGCATGACAGCAAACGTTACAAGCTTGTGACAGCCAAGCTCTAATAAAAGCATCAGGTTGCAAATGATCCATATTACAGAGACTTATTCACTGACTGACTGCCTTTACTTATGTTCAATTAAGTGCTGCCACACAGACAGATCTTGTGATTTCCTGGCATCAGCATGCTCAAAAACACATACTGCTGAGCAGTGCTCTGTCCGACAGCCAGAAGACTGAATATATAACGGTCAGTCTCATCTTGACAAACCAAGGCCTTATGTTGACATCCTCCTGATGATGTCGTAAGGTTGAGCGCTGATAGATTTTCGCTCTTTCAGCTGTTTTTCAATGTGGTCAACAGATCAATGAGAGAACTGATTCTGAAGAGTTCACTGGAAACTGCAACAAAGCAGCATACGCCTTCCCGAAACATGTAGACACTTGTTAAGTTCTGACCTCAACAATTTTGACAGCGCTACAAATCACTTCTGATTTGTTTGTTATATTCAATTATTTATCTGGCACACAGTCTTGAGTTCATATTATCGATTAAGCCTTGCTTCAAGTGAAGAGAAGGCTACTCCAGTCTATGTTGATAAGGAAACTTTAAAGCATATGAGAATATCAGACAAAAAAAAAAAAAAAATGATGCAACATGTGTCCAGCGCTTCTGCTGAAACATTTAATCTATAGCAGCTGCTCTGACCTCGTTCGTGCAAGTCTCATTACACTGGGCTCAGCATAACTCACATGATCTTTACCAGTAAAGTTCATCTAAGGCCAACATGTCACGTTAGAGTATTGATCTGTACAAGTTCACAACACCTGCAGCATTTACTAATATCAAACTTGGGCAAAATTGAGAATTTAAAAACTGGTTTCCATCCCATTCAAATCATGAGTGTGAATTCGAATTGTGATGCTGAACTGGACTCACAGGAAAAGCATGTCCCTCCAGGATTTCGAGATTTTTTTTATGCAAAACAAACAAAGTCCATGATATTTGGGGCAGATTTTGGGCCTAGAGTCAGTAGACGCATCATTTGACATCATTGCAACACGCATTCAGCCAAAACCCACTTCGAATCGATCGTTAAACTTCTGTTTGCATCATTGCTTCGGCAATGCATCTGTCACTCCCAGTCAGTCAACCGCCACAATCCTGCTCCCACTGTAAACACACACACAAGAAGTGCACACAGCTGCACACTCTGAGTGACATCTTTTCCATCAACCGGTTCAATTTATCAACATGCTGCGTAAAACAGTCTCACGCACTCTGAACAATCCTACTAGAACTATAGGAGATGCTAAATCAAAATGTAAATTCACTCTCTGACAGTACAGTACACTATAAAAATGAATATGCTTTATCTAATAAATAAAATTGTGGCAACAGATTACAAGCGATATTATTAATTGAATTGAACAAATCAGAATTGAGTAATAATTAATCAAATTATTACTTAAAAGTTAACCATTTAAAACGAGTAAAGTTTAAACCAAATAATTTAACAAAAATATCCGAATAACAGACAGACGTCAAAGATTAATTAAGAGCTCTTTATTCCTGATGTTAACAAGCAGAATCACTGAAG